CTGAAGAGCGACGCGTCTTCTTCTTCTTTTTGCGCGGCTTGTGCGCGATTACAATAAAAAGTCTCCTTAATCCCGGCCCTTTTTATTTCCGCCATTAGCCCCGCTGCCGGGAATAAAGGGAGGAAAAAACAGCGCTCAGGGAAAGAGCTTTAAAAGCACAGAGATCTGCTCTCTTGCTACGGAGGAATGTGTATTCTTTGGGGAGAGTGACACAATTTTAAAAAAGCGGCAGCGACACTTAAAAAGTAGTATTAATGTGCGCCTCGCCTCCATTAATTCTTACTTCTCGTCTCGCATTCGACGTGTCTCCAGTGTCGTCTCTCAAAAAATTTGCAGTGCTTTTAACAACCATGATTTTCATCTCGTCGAGATCATAACCCCCGTTCTCTGGAGTAGAGACTTTGATGAAAAAAAAAATTATTCATGTATGATTATTTTCTTCTTGGTCAATAAATAAATATTAAAAAAAAAATTGAAATTGGGAAAAAAGAGAAGAAATAGTTTACAACTAGCAGATGTCTGCAAAAAAGCCCGACATCAAAAGAGACTCGGCCGCCGCGGTAAAACCCACATTAAGGAAAAAAAGAACAATATCACAAACGCTTAAAATTCTAAAATCGTAATAGGCAAAACTCAATGGTGAAGATTTTTAAATGTACTGCTATGTATTTTTTAATTTCCGCTAAATTATTTAATTTTACTTAATTTTTTCGAAGTATTGACATTACATTTTTTAATAAAATCTTTTATTTAAAATTTACATAATTTAGAATGATTTTTATTTTACGAATAAACTATTTTAAAGTTTTTTTCTATTAATAAACACGTTTTTAATTGCAATTGTTTATATCATTTTTTTTTTATTTATAATACTTTCAGTTGATTGTAATAAAGTAGAACTTCTAAAACAGCAATTTTAATAGAATGATCGTGGAATAGTGTCTTGAAGCAAATAGTAATATTTACTTTTATTAACAAAAAAGAATAAAAAAAATCATAAATATAGAGAAATATTACGGAATTATTAAATTTTTGCATGTTTTAGCTACTTTCCAAACAACCCAAAGTAAGTTACAAATTTTAAATGAATTTTATATACGTTTGAAATACTATGTGTTTACTTCTTATTTGTTTGAGTAATTGTTTTATTTTTATAATAACAACTATTTCTGTCCCTTATCAAATTTTTTGTATTTTTCTTAATGAAAAGTAGAAAGAAAAAATGTGAAGCTCGTTTGCAATCAATTAAAAATTTATTTATTCACCATTCAATACATCAATAAAAAAAACACTACATCATTCCTCAAATCAATTCAACAATGAAAAATTAAAAATAAACACTGAAAATACATACAAAATTAGTGCAAGTTTTAAAGTATGTGACAAAATGCCCTATAAATAGTTATTTCCTCTTGACAAAAATATGTAAGAAATCCAACGTTTTGATTTTTCTTGTACGCAGCCCATCAAAAATTTTAATTAAATCGATCAGGAATTTCAACACTGTGGATGAAACATCAAACAAGTGCGCAGCTCTTAGTCTATAAGCTTCTAGCAGATTAATTAATAACAAACATCTCCGCATCTGGCCAAAGTTTCGCGCGAAATTAAGTTAAAACGCATATTAATTAATGCCTTTGATCAGTGACCCGCCGCTGGAGTGGCGTTAGCCGAGCCCAACGCAAAGCCGGCGGAGCAAACACGCGCGCTCGCTCCTTCATTATAAATCCCTTAATAATAGTTTTTGTTTGCCAACTCGGTGTGTAGCAGCCGAGCACATATCGGTTAATTAGGCGGCACTAAGCTGTTGGCTGGCTGCTTTTGCTCTCCTTCCTTACACTTAATTACCCCGGCCCGGGCACAACAACACACCCTCAGGTCCAGAAAACACGGTGGACTCGAAGCCTCATTATTCATGAAGCAGCTTGTGTAATGAGCAAAACGCAATACTAAAATCTAACGCCGCGCTTATCCCGTTCTGGCCGAGTGTTGCACCCCTCCCATTATATATTATGAAATCAGGTGCGCACATGGCGGCGGCCAGAGGCAAATTGCTCCTCTTATCTCACGCTCAACTGCTTCAATTATTGTAATATTCAGAAGTTTCTCCGAGACGTCTACTTTGAGCGAGTTGGGGTGCCACCGCCGAGCCAAGGGCAAACAGCATTAAAATGGGAATTACTTCTGCAATTTACATTTCTATGCATGTTATGAAATTTCTCCTGCATATATGTGACTTTTTTTAATTGGCGGCCGGCAAAATAATATTTCTTGCGGAGAAATTCATAATTTAAATTTGATTCAAATCAATTACTAATACTTTTTTTTAATCATATGTCGCATATCATTGAATTTTAAAATAAGATGTGATTTTACCTTAATAAATAATGCCCAAAACGTTTCATAATAATTTCAGTAAAATATTTTCGTATATTAAAATAAATTATTAATTTTCCTACTTTGAAATTAAAGGATATTAAAGAAAAAAAAGATTTACTCAAATAAGGGGAAAAACGACTGACTAAGAAGGTTTGGGACGGTTTTATTATTCTGAATTTGGAGCAGCATTCCACGGTGGCTAGATACGGATCGGTACAAACGCATATTTAATTGCTAAATACATTATAATTTAGCGTGAATGGGCTGATAAACGGCCAGCAACTGCTTGTTATTCGGTCATATAATAAGGGAGGCGTTTTGGTGAGCAAATTTAATGGAATCGCGTGATGGCGAAACAGCGGTGGCAGAGCCGGCTGATTTCATTTGTGGTCATTTCCGACGCAATTTACATACAACGTAAAGAGAAGGGAATTGGCTGTTTCATGTCCAAAAGCCATGATCTGTGGCCAACGCGTTTATATTTTTATTATTTATACACATTCAGAGCCAAAGACCTGCTCATTTAATATTCAATTATATCGTCTCCATCATCTGCTATAATTTATTCAAACTGTTTTTATATTCCAGATTTTCGGAAATAAGCGCCGACGGTTGCTTTTCTTTGCATGCCGATCTCGTGATCTTTCAAAAGTAAACACGCCGCGCTGCGTTTTGTCATATTTTCGAATATTCATAAACCGAATTTAATAATGCTGCTTGTTTTCCGCCCGAATAACTCACGCGCCACCTTGACCTTTGAAAAAATGAATTTTCTTGTTGGTTGTGGTTTTTAGTTGGAAGCGACGAAAGAGCAAAATCAATCACGATAACGACGACCGCAGTTTCCTCATCATTTTAATGAAGGTTCGTTATCACGCTGGGTGACACACGTTCGTAATCAGAAGCAAAAATTGAATGAATGCCAGCCACTGTGGAGCAATACCCGATTGATCCACGCAGACGATCCGCTACCGACCGCAAAATTAATTGATGATTGCTCGTCCTGTCACTCAACTACTTGCATATATTGAGCAAAAACTTGCATTCACAGCATTATAACTGATGCAAAATGCGGTACTGAAACACAGTCAATTTGCTTTACAATGAATTTCAAAAAAAAAAAAAAAAAATAAATAATAATAATGGTGTAACCCTTAATGACCCTTTTGTTCACTTTAAAGCTGCATGCAAAAGTTTCTTTATTTACTATTTACTTGAATTTAAAAAAAAAAATCCATTTTTATGAAACGTAACTTATTATAAAATATTATTTTTATATTCATATTAAAAAAACTAGTATTTAATAAATATCATAATTCTTTGGATAGCTCAAAGCTTATATATCAGCCAAAATATATTATTATATTATCTCATGATCTCAATGATTTGTAAATCTTAAAATAGTAATTTACGAGTGGCATTTGTAAGATTTTTAGAAAGAAAAAAAGATTTTTAGATACGTGAATTAACTTTTAATTAAATTGTGAAACATCCAAAAAAGATTAAAATAGATTTTACTAGTATTTTGTTGGACTTGTATTTAATTTCTTATTTTAATTAGTTGATGCATTAAAGAGGTGAAAAAATTTAATAATTAATATTCCGTTCATTTTAATTTTTTACTTAATTTTTGCATTTTGTAGCATTCAGTTGAATTGCTGAACACCTCGAGCCCTCTCTGCGGAGTCTGTGAAAAGATCTTTTTGAAGGGCGTTCTCCTCTCTGACATCTTTCGGAGAACGCGGTACTCGCGCGGCGTCTCCTCTCGGCAGTTTTAACAAAATTTAGGGAAATTCATGTAATATCTTATGCTTTTTTGGAACTGGAAAATACTTCGAAGAAAGTTACGTTTACAACGAGGCTCGATGCCTGCTTGAAAATCTCCTCTGTAGATTGTATTTAAAAATGGATTGGCTGAATTTTAAAAATCTTTCATGTCCCATGTACTACATAAATTAATTAGATTATATTACATATTTTTATTCATTCATTTGAGCACAAAATATACATTCATTAACAAGCACAATAATGCCACCAGAACTAGTTAATGTGAACTTCTTTTGCACAAATTATAAACTTTACAATTGACTCAAACGAGGTACAAGGTCGTGGTTTGAAAATATAAAGTACTTGAAATTTTATCTTCAGAGAATATAATGTAATCATTAGTTAAAACAGCTTGTTTGTAATAAGATAACTACATCTTATCAACGATGCAAGCTCTAATTTAAAATCTGCAATTTTATGAAAAAAAAATTGACAAACAAATGAAAATGCTAAAAAAGAGACATTCTTAATTTCTTTGTTTAATTTTATTATATGGTGGAAAAATTAAATAAAGCTGACATCAAACATTTTAAATTTACTTTTCTTTTTTTTTAATTCAACTTACATTACAATTTTCGTGTCCATAATTTAGTGATGCCTGTAAACAACAAGCCTGTAAATTTGTGAATGAACGCTTTCTCAGCCCTCTCTGCGTAACACTCGCAACGATCCCATCGATCCTCTTCATTTCTCACCCTAGTCTGACATCTCCCGGAGAAGAGAAAACTTGCCGGTCTCTACACTTCTTGCAATGAAGCTGTTATTTTAATGAAAATTAATTTGCGTGGTAGTCTAATTTAAACACAAAAAGGTACAGAAAACAATTCTTTCAAACATTACAAATTTTTTTGTACCTTGGAAAAAAACTAAATGTTAATTTTAAATTGAAGTTTTTATCAGCAGCATTTTAATTAATCTAATTGAATAATCTGGTTATCAGGTTTGTGCCAACTTCATAAAAAAGTCACGCAAGCGTATTCAGCATTTAATTTTGTTTTTTTCAAGTGGTGCGCGTTTCCAGCTGACGAGATGATGATTCGCGCGAGATCAGCAGTTTTTGCCCGTCCTCAGGCGATCATAATTTTCGTATCCGAGACCGGCACGTGAAATATTAATCGCCACTTCCAGTTCGATGTGATCTCTCAGCAGCCCGACAGCAACGAAATGGAGCGAAAAAAAGACGGCGATGTTAAATGGTGCGTAGCGCTAACGAGCCATATAAAAAATAAACAGTCGTGAGGGAGGGAGAAGCAGGTTGTCTCTAGTTATACACATTATGCAACACTTGATTTAATTTTTTCCGTATCATAGTTCACGATGGAAGGGCATAAATAACATTTGAATTGATCTGTCTGCCTCCATCTCATACTATAATTAAGCAGCTTTAATCATTCGCGAGCTGACAACTCTATATAAAAATGCTGGTATCATAAAAAGCCACAGACTGTCTTAAGCCCTGCCCTAAGACCTTGAACGTGAAAAGAATAAGACGGCTTTATTAAAGAAACGCCGACAGAATTATTGTTTAAAAATAATCATAATAAAAAATAATGCTTAGGAATGTCAAGAGTAAATTGTTTCAAATAATATTTTATCCCTTAATTAAATTATGTACTTTCATTTTATTCAAAATTTATTTTTATACTCTTTGTATATTGCGTTTAGCATAAAAATATAAAACTGTTTATGCTGCAAAAGTAATTTAGAATATATTTAAAAAAAACTTGATACTAAGTGATTAATATCATTGAGTTATTCGAGTTGAATGCGACCTTTTTAATTCATTTTTACGCATATTTATGTATAATTAAATTTATTAAAAATAAAAAATGACATTTTATTTTTCAATATTAATAAATTTATCTACTGAGCTTCCAGAAATTTGCATGGATGCTTTGTGTTTGTATTTTATTGTTGTCAAGTAAGCCAAGAATAAGTGCATGGTCTTTCAATAGAGGTTAAAAAATATACAAATTTGATTTATTCCTCAGCTCATGAGCAGCTTAATTTCAGCATTAAAATAAAAAAAATGACTCATTTTCAAAAATTATATCAAAATTTTTGCTAGTTTAATGACCAATGAAAAGTAAATTTTTCTTAAAAAAATATTAATCCATGCCATGACATTTTTTGTTCAACACTTTATGGCATTTCTGATTTATCACAAATTTCTAAAGCAAAACAATTTGAAGTGAAATAATCAGTTGAAATTTGTTGCCACACAATATGTATGCAAAAAAACATTTGCACAGTGCCAACGCAAGTTCATTCCCGTCCTTTATTTGCCCAGCCGTGGTGTGATCGAAAATTAAGAGATGATTTATGGCCTGCGAATAACAAAAATGAACCTTTGAACCTCACAAGTGCGAGAAGAAACTCTCATTCGTCTCGCGTTTGTCATGTTCGTAGGAGTCGAGTTCCGCGAAAGGAGATGAAGCTGGACGAAGAGCCCCGCGAGCCCAACCCGCGACAGGGCGCCAACCCTTTTTCCGTTGCGTTCTTCACGTGGACGCTCGCCATATTCAGGAGACCCAAAGAAAAGGGCAGTTTGGAGTTGAAGGATTTGTGTGCACCTCTCACGGAGGACGAAGCTAAAATTTTGGGCGATCGACTGGAAAGGTAAATTAAATTGGGTACCTAGAGATAATTTATTTCTGATTAAATAAATCAAATAAATGAAATAGCATAAATTAAAAAAAATGTAAAATTATAAATGTGGGAATTGTTTAATTATAAATTGATAAATTTGTAGTAAAAGGGGCCAACGGATAATTTTGATAAAAATTTTTTTTTTTTGATATTGTGAAAACACAGCTGAAATTAAAAATTGCCATTTTTTGAAAGACAATAACCTGATTTAAAATTTCACAGCAGCGCTACATTTTTGCATTATCAAATCATATCAGGCGCGCGTGTGTATTTGGTGACAAATTGATGGTCACGAAAAAAAGTGCCCTCGACCTTTGGCATTATGAATGACTTCGGTGACAATTGCAAATTTGGTCAGCGTTAAAATTTGAGCCAGAAAATTATGTGAAAAACAGTCTTTTACTTTTTCCAGTGATAAAATGATTTTCAAAATATAATTTATATTTAATAATTGATATCCTCAAATAAATTCAGCCCAATATATTGGTGAAGATTTAATATTTAAAAATAAAAAATAAAAAAATTTAATCAAATTTTTTTTGTATAAACGTGATCAAATCTCTCGCCAATTTTAATTTTTCTTAATCTTTATTGCATCTATTTTGTCACTTTAATTTAATTTTTTATTAATACAATTTTATAGACATTGGAATGAAAAATTGCGTGAGAGCTCTCCAGAAAAACCTCCAAGACTGCTTTTTGTAATGTTCCGCACATTTTGGCGCGAGTTTTTATTGATTGGAGTTTTGGATTTTCTCTCTGAGCCGGTTTTAAGGTAAAACAAATCTTTACCGTCACTATTAAATGCTTGATTCAAAAATAAAATTCTAGAGTTTTGCAGCCAGTCTTACTTGGCCGCCTGCTCCTGTACTTCAATAAGGACAGCGTCGTTTCTTACGAAGAGGCCTGGATGCTGGCCGTGGGAATTGTTCTCCTGCAAGCCGCGACCGCCGTGCTAGTCACTCAGTATTCGCACAAATCGTTCCACACCGGCATGAAAATGAAAGTGGCCGCGTGTTCTCTCATGTTCAGAAAAGTTCGTTAATTAATTGTCACGGACACAATGATCACTTAATTAATTCTAGGCCCTCAGACTGAGCAAAACTGCCCTAGGTCAAACAGCAACTGGTCAAATAGTCAATTTGCTGGCGAATGACGTCAGCAGATTTGAACTCGTGGCTTATTTCATTCACTTCATTTGGGCTTCCGTGTTGGTTTTAATCTTCGTTAGTTGGATCGTGATTGAAGAAATGGGCACACCTGGCCTGTTCGGAATTGCAGTTGTGTTGGTTGTCTGCCCAATTCAATGTAAGCTTTTTTTTTTGCTCCCATTTTAACTAACCAACTTTTTATCTATTTTATTTGGAATAACAGCCAATTTGAAAAAAATCTTCAATTATTTTTTAATGAAAATTTTAAGATTTCAAAAATGTTATTTTGTATTTAATGTATGCATTTTATTGTGTTTACAGCCTACACAGCGAGATTGACTTCAAGGTTCAGAGGCAAAACGGCCTTTCGAACCGATCACAGAGTCAGACTGATGAGCGAAATCATTGATGGAATACAGGCCATAAAAATGTACGCCTGGGAGAAACCGTTTGGTGCCTTGATTGCGAAAGCTCGAATGTAAAACGCACAATTTTAATAATTATAATTGTCTAGTAATAAAACGATAAAATTTAGAGACGAAATAAAGTGGATTCGAAGGGCGTCGTTCATTAGGGGCATTTACATGACGTTCAACATGTTCACGACGCGGATGGCCCTGTTTTGCGCCCTGCTTGCGGTGACCCTGGCCGGCAGTTCCATTTCTTCGGACAGAGTTTTCGTTGTCTCGGCGCTCTTTACCGTTCTCGCCCAAGCGATGACCGGGACGTTTGTGAGAGCCCTGGCTGAATGTGCCGAATGCTGGGTGTCAACAAACCGAATTCAAACTTTTCTTCTCCGTGAAGAATTCAGCGGCCGACCATCAGGTATAAAGATTATTTACAAATACAAATTTGAAGTCGGACTTGAAATTTAGAAATTAATAAAATTTGCTAAATTTTCTAAAACTGCACAAAACTGTCATGAATTTTTCAGCGGAACAATATTGAAGTTAAAAACTTAACAAATTTTTGTAAACCTAAGAGAAATCTACATAATTTTTTACTCATTCAGAGGTTAAAAATTGCGTACATTTTTTATTTTAAATTCAGCTTTTAAAATATGCACAAAAAATTTAATATAGTCCAAAAACTACAATCCTGCTAATTTTCTTCTCTTGTCAATGTACAAACATCAAAAATTGTCTCCATGAACAACATCAATATATTGTGAAACTGTTAACATGTTTAAAAAAATATTATATAAAATAACGAAATTCTATATTTTAAAGTAAAGTTTTTTATGATTGAAATTTACAAAAAGATTATAATATCAAATAGAAAACACATGTTACAAAAGGAAATAATTAAGGAAAAAAATGTTGCCATTAACTAAATTATCATTTCATCGTCAACACAACGTAAATTTTATATTTATAATTATTGTTTCTGTTTTAAAAATTTAATTTTTTTGCAGAACTGCCAATGGAACAGGGTGCTCCCTTTGAAAGGAAGTCGTTCAATCATACTTCAATCAGCGAAGAAAAGCTAAATCCAGACGAGGAAAATACAATAAAAGACGGAATATTAGAAGACGAAGATCTCGGAGTGTCTGAAGAAGCAATAATTGAAAATGAAATTTCAAAACCCGAACCTGGAACGATTCTGGTCGAAAACGCGTCGGCCAGTTGGGTGGAGGGTGGCGACGTGACCCTGAACAAAATCAACCTGAGGGCGGAGCCAGGGTCGCTGGTGGCTGTGATCGGTGCCGTGGGCTCGGGCAAGTCGTCGCTGATCCAGGCGCTGCTGGGGGAGCTGCCGTGGGGTGGAGGCGGGGGTGGTGTGGAGGCGTGGGGGGTGTCGTACTCTTCGCAGGAGCCGTGGGTGTTCTCGGGCAGCGTGCGCGAGAACGTGGTGTTCGGGCGGCCGTTCGAGCGGCGCAGGTACAACCAGGTGCTGAAGGCGTGCTGCCTGCTGCCCGACCTGAAGCGCATGCGCAACGGCGACGCGACGCTGGTGGGCGAGCGCGGCGGCGCGCTCAGCGGCGGCCAGAAGGCGCGCCTCACGCTCGCCAGGGCTGCCTACGCGCAACACGTCGATGCCTACCTGCTCGACGAGCCGCTCGCCGCCCTTGACGTAAATGTGGCCAAGCATGTCTTTGACGAGTGCGTCGACGGACTCCTCAGGGGCACCACCCGCGTCCTCGTCACCAACCAGCTCCACCTGCTGCGCAACGCCGACCTTATCGTTGTCATGAACAACGGCTCAATCCTCACGCAGGGCACCTTTGACCAATTGATCAAATCTCAGGGAATTTTCTCTCAGGTCGTTGGAGAGCCAGCTGGCGACGATCTAGGTACAGACCATGAAGACCGACCTGAGACGCCTTTGAAGTCCATCCTCAGACAAATCTCGAGCACGTCACAGCAGAGTCTGCAGGCCATCAAGGACGACGCCGAGTCGATTTATCAAGCGAGCGAAACTGAAAAGGAGGATTTGGCTAACGAGGAAGTTTCGGACGAAGGCGCCGTCAGTTTTTCAACTTACAAAGAATTTTTGCTCCTCGGTGCCTCAATTTTCGTCATTTTTTTCGCTGCATTTCTCTTCATCGCGGCCCAAGTTGCGGCCAGTGCGGCTGACACGTGGGTTGCATTTTGGATTACAACCGAACAGAAAAGAGCAATCGTTGAAGATGAGGAGGATCATGAACTTATGACCACCGAAACGTGCATTTTAATTTACGGACTGATAATTCTTGCTCTCTTGGTACTGGCAATGGGCAGATCGTTTTTATATTACATCATCTCGATGAGGGCGTCTATCAATTTGCATGAGAAAATGTTTAAGTCAATCGTACGAGCACCGATGTACTTCTTCTCTTGGAACCCGGCGGGAAGGATTTTGAACAGGTTGTTTATTTAACTTTCAATATTAAATTAATAAAAAAAATAATCATCAAATTTATTCTCAACAAGATTAAAGTATGAATTGATGTCCAAAATTTAATAATACGTCTATCTGAAAATTATTTCCAAGTAAAAAAATTCTTCCCCAAAAAAGTAATTACATATTGTTTAGGTTTTATTAAAATTTATTGATTTTAATTTTTTCTTTGCATCCCCTTAAATCACCCCCTCTGGTATCCTCTATCATGAAAAAATCTACCAACAATACTTAGAATAAAAATAATTTTCAAATAATTAAAATTATTTTTAATTACAGATTTGCTCGAGATTTGGCCAATATTGATGAAAATCTGCCAAAAGTTGCGTTGGACGTTTTCCAATTCACAATTTCCATGGCCGCGTGCATGCTGGTCGCCGCCTATGTCAACCCGTTGTTCCTTATTCCCGTGGCTGTTATGGGTTTCATTTCACACAAGTGCCGCCGTCGCTTTATTGTTACATCGAGGCAAATAAAGCGATTGGAAAACATAGCCAGGAGCCCTGTTTATTCACTATTGGCAGACGTGCTCAATTCACTGCCAACCGTAAGGTGAAGAAAATTAATTTATATGTAAATTATGATCCCTTCCTTATAATCCTTAAAAGCAATTAAAATTTAATTGTTCTCTTCATATTATTAAAGCAGGGAACAAAAATGGCAAATTAAACTGGATTCTCTAATCTTCATTTCGCTTTGTTTATTTTAAATTAGAATTATTGTCAATACAGGATTTTTGCATGGAATGTTATAAGAAATACGCTGTTTTCATTATTTTTATATTTTTTCGCCCTGATTTTTTTTTATAAATTTGCCTATATGTATAAAATTTAACATTGAAAATATGTATATTGATAATCATAATTAGATAGAAAAATCTTTTAATTATTTATTATAAATATAACACGGATTTTTTTTAGATGAAGAAATAAAATTAATATATATTTGTTTTTACTTCAGATCCATGAAGGCCGAGAAAATGCTATTGAGAAAAGTGGAGGAGTTTCAGGACACGCACAGTGCGGCGTGGTACCTTTATTTCTCCATTAGCCACTCGTACGGCTTCACTCTGGACCTCTTTGTGGTCGTCTTCATCGCGTTCATCACATTCAATTTTTTGCTCATCGACCAGACGGACGCAAACACAAGTGCGATGGCCGGTTTGGCGATCACCCAAATCATGATGATGACCGCGCTGCTCAACTGGGCCATGCGCGAGTCTGCTGAAATGGAGAACACCCTGACCTCGGTGGAAAGGGTGCTCGAGTACACAAAATTGGAACAGGAGCCCGAACCAGTCATTTCAGACCCTGTGCCAAAGGTATACATAAAATCTATTTTAAATTTTACATGTTGATCAATATAGATTTATTCGATTTATTCATTTATAGAAATTTTATGGTAAATCTTTTATTCAATTATTATAATTTTTTTTAATTTTTACGAAGTCTCCTTAAATTGTTGTTATTGCTTTATGGAATGTTTTATTTATTTATTAAATAATGATGTTAAATTATTTACCTTGATCACTAGTTTATTTATAATTAACATTTTCTTTTTCAGAATTGGCCTACGGAGGGTTGCGTTTATTTTGATGGGACGAGTCTCAGGTACACGCCAGACCAACCTCTAGTGCTCAAGAACTTAGTTCTCCAAGTAGAACCGCGATTCAAAGTGGGCATAGTTGGGCGAACTGGTGCCGGAAAATCGTCCCTCATCAACGCTCTCTTCAGACTTGCACCTTTGGAAGGTTCAGTTCAAATCGACTCGGTCGACACGGGCTCGTTGACCCTGGAGGATTTGCGAACGAAAATTTCCATCATCCCGCAAGACCCTGTCCTCTTTTCCGGCACCCTCAGGTACAACCTGGATCCATTCGGCGAGTACCCTGACTACCAATTGTGGAAGGCGCTGGAAGACGTAAAATGAAATTTGTTCTGATGACTATTTATATTCTTAAATTTTGGTGTTAAGGTCGAATTAAAAGATGTTGTTACTGAACTTGCTGGACTGGAGAGCCCTGTGGCTGCTGGCGGATCTAACTGGAGTGTGGGGCAAAGACAGCTTTTGTGTTTGGCACGGACAATTCTGAAGAAAAACAAGGTTCTTGTTCTAGATGAAGCCACTGCTAACGTTGATCCTCAGTAAGCTCTTTTTCTTAATCACGATTTAAATTAAATACTGAAGTTAAAAAAATTGTTTATTTAAAAAACATTTTATTTTTAATTATAATTTAATTTCTTTTAATTACTTTACATTTTTTTTAAATTTACTAATTTTTTAAATAATTAACAATCTTTTTTATTTCAATGCTGTAGTGTTAAGTTATTATTTTTGAATTTTAATTTGCATTAAATAGGAACTTGTATTTAAAATTAAAATATTTGTTATATTTATCAAAATTCAATAATTAAATTTTTTTTTAAATAACAAATATTTTATATTAGATTATTTTAAAGTCACAACGGTTTGTGACGTTTGTTAATTTTAAACAATAATCTAAATTTCAGACCAAAGCACAAAACCTGGTTTATATTTATTATAATTTCATTTTAGAACTGATGCGCTGATTCAAGCCACAATACGAAAACAGTTTAAAGAATGCACTGTTCTGACAGTGGCCCACAGATTGAACACGATAATGGACTCAGACAGAGTGCTGGTTATGGCAGATGGCAAACTAATGGTAGGATTAAATTTTTCTACATTCTTATGATACAAAAACTTAATAATGCATTATATTATTTTTAAAAGGAATACGGATCCCCCTATGAGTTATTGCAAGTGGATAATGGTATTTTCCGAAGAATGGTGGACGAAACCGGTTTCCATTCGGCAAAGACATTAGAGAAGGTTGCTAAAGAGGTAATAAAATTAAAATAAATGGAAATCAGCAATTTAGCATCTAATAAATTTTTTATATTTCTGCCAGAAATTCGAGAGAGATTTGGAAATGGAAAAAGATGCTGTCACCGAAGATCAGTCAATATCGTGATAATGCAAAAAGACTGATTTTGGAATAAGCCTTACATTTTATCAATGGGAGTGTAAATAAATAGAACCGTGTGATAGTGAGGCGAGATAAAGAGATGTGTGTCAATTAATTGCAAAACAAACATTTTGCACTGCGCTAAGTAAATTTCAATTTTCGTAATTTTGCGAAATATAAAAATTTTGGGCAAATTTAAAGTGCAATAAATATTTATCTTGCGTCAGGCGATAGGTGCAACTTTAAAGCGGCGCACCTCCTGCTAAGAAGCGTATAAAAGCTGCGCGGATATAAATACGCACGCGTGAACCGGGATTATGCTGATTTGCGGGTTTCCACGGCGCGCCTTTCAGCACCAGAACATCTCTAGACGGTGAACCGGTCTCTCTGTCATTGTTCGCAAATCGCCGCTTCAACATGTGATTCACTCAGTGCGGCTCTTATTTTCCTTGTTTATTAAGCTCTCAAAAAAATAGTTTAGCAGAGCGCCGAACAGAAAATTAATTTAACATCCAAGAATGGAGAAGAAAAATGGAACAAAATGGTACGTTTTTAATTTTATTTTAATGTCTGTTATAAATTAATATTAAAATTTAACAATGGAGGTGGATTTCCTCTCAAACTATCTTAAGCTGTGTCTTTTCCTCATTATTATTTTTTTTTTAACGAAGGTAACCCTACCTGGTTTCATATTTTTTATGAACGAGTTTCAAATATATTATTTTATTATCAAAATTTGCCTGGAATTAATTTTGGTTTTTTAATTGTAAGTAAAGCAAGTTAAATTAGTGCATGGGGTAAAATGCGTGTATTTGCGGGCACTTGGCGCTGTCCCAAAATAAGCGCCGGCTGGTGGCCTTGGTACCACAGCAAGCATCACACAGACCGATTTTTCACACTGCGGCTGCAAGGCCATTGCCACTCGCATTACGTCATATCTGCTGCTGGCTTTCTGATAAAAGAGCGCAACACAACACTGGTCCCCACTGAGCAAGCAGTTAATAGACAGAGATGCGCCCGCGGCCCATATCTAATTTCCAGCTTCTCTCGTCCCGCAATTGCTTTTTTATGCAATGAACTCAAAACCACTCGGTAGTAATTAGAGATGCACTGGAATATTTATGACGTCGACTTGCTATACAAAATTGACAAGAGCAATTAGTAATATTATTAATTAAAATTATAATATAAATTAGTGCATTCAATTCAATAATAAACATCTTTAATTACTCAAACTAATGCATATTTTATAAATTAAATAATATAAATTAAACATCCAAATAGGTTATTGAATTTTTAGATTTCAAGAGTCGAAGAAAATTTCTCAGCGCATTTATGATAAAAAATGTGTTTTTGAAAAAAGTGTGCTCATCAGCTACTGAAACAATGTAATTAGAAAAAATTAAAATTTAGTCAGTGCTGGGTTAATTTTAATTATTGCAATAAATAACCCACCGTAAAATAATTATCTCAAATTATTCAATTGATGCAGATAACTTGCCTCTGATTCAACGTTTTATTACAACATCAATGAAGATTGGTGTGCTCCATTTAACCTATGACTGGAGCAAATTTGTTTGTTTAAGACAAGACCGCTCTCTCGTCGCTATTGTAATTCATCGCCAAACAAGTTTGTTGGTAGTCAACTTTTGAAAAGCGGCCCGTTCACATTGTTTCACGTATTGCTCTGTGTGTTGACACGAATTCTCTTTTTTAACGCGATCTCGACACAAATTTATTTCACTGTTTTTTTTTTTTTTTTTTACTTTTTTCGGAAGGACGCGAGTTCCAGTGAAAGAAATGGAGCAAGAGGAGGAAAAAAGCAAAGAAAGGGATCCTATGCCGAGGCTTGGAGCGAGCGCTCTATCTGCTTTCACGTACTGGTGGACCCTGCCAATATTTCGCAGATCGCAAGAAAAGGAGAATCTGGAGCTGGAGGACTTGTTTCTGCCGATGCCAAAGGACGAGGCGAACGCTCTTGGCAACGCACTGGAAAAGTAAATGTGAATTTCATTATTCAAATGCTGAGCATGTAAATTTTATTACAATTATTCAAACTTCATCCGGTTTACAATAAGAACATAAATTTTATTAATAAAAAATTTAAATATCAGGCACTGGAACGCGGCTATTGCAAAGAGAGGCAAAGAAAATCCCCCGAGAATTTTATTAATTTTGCTGAAAACTATATGGAGGGACTTTTTACTCGCAGCTTTTGCAATTTTCACAAACGACTGCATACTAAGGTAATTTTATTGATTTAAAAATTAATAATTTTATTGATAATTGATTTTCAAGAACTATTCAACCTCTCTTTTTGGGAGAATTAATCGCATATTTCCGTCATGGGCCCTCAAAAGACGGCGCTCCGGGAGAAGTTTCTTACGAAAGGGCTTGGTTTTTGGCCAGCATGGTCGTACTTCTTCAGATCTGTAGCGTTTTTTGCTTCAATCACCACTTATTCATCGCCATTCAAAACGGTACAAAAATGAAGGTTGCAACCTGTACTCTAATTTTTAGAAAGGTAATTTTTTATTTAAAAATTGATTGATAATTTATTGCCATAAAAATTAAATATTAATTTAAATTAAATTCAACTTTCTTAAAAAATGATTGAAAAATAATTAAATAAACAATAAATATTTTTATAGGCCTTGCGACTTAGCAAAACCAGCCTCGGACAAACCGCAACGGGCCAAATTGTGAACCTTTTGGCCAACGACGTGAGCAGATTTGATATGATCTCGATGTTTTCCAACCTGATGTGGTGCTCGATCGTTGTCTTTGTCATTGCAAGTTGTCTAATTTACCGGCAGATTGGCTCCTCTGGATTGTACGGAGTAGCAGTGGTTCTGATCGTTTGCCCTTTGCAATGTGAGTAGACTAATTAATTTCTGATATAAAAAATTTGTGATGATTTGTATTAAAATATTAGCGTACACTGGTAGTTTGACCTCAAAATACAGGGGGAAAACGGCGTTGCGAACTGACCACAGAGTTCGACTCATGAATGAAGTAATAAATGGAATTCAGGCGATTAAAATGTACGCTTGGGAGAAACCGTTCGGGATCCTCATTTCAAAAGCTCGCAAGTAATTCTGCATTTTTGTGATAAGGTTTTGTAATTTTTAATTAACAATTATTTCAGGGTTGAAATTAAGTGGATTCGGCGCGCTTCTTTCATAAGAGGCCTGTACATGACTTTCAATTTGTTCACGACTAGGATGGCCCTTTTCTGCACTCTCCTCTCCTACGCCCTCTCCGGCAATAGTTTAGCGGCCGAGGACGTTTTCGTTGTGTCGGCGTATTTCGGGCTGCTTTCGCAAACCATGTCTGGAGTTTTTGTGCGTGGAGTGGCAGAATTTTCTGAGGCGTGGGTGTCAATGAACAGGATCCAGACCTTTTTGCTGAGGGACGAATTTGGAGGAAGACCGGCTGGTAATATGGTTTATATTATTAATATTAAAAATAAAATCAGTGCACTAATTTGGTGATCTAGTATGATGTAAAAACAATTTTTATACTTTTACACAGTTTCTGTTATTATAATTGGAGAATTTAACAAAAAGTTGTGGTTTTATATTGTTTTACTTACAATTTTCTAAAATGAGGCAAAGAAAATTAAGGAAAAAGTATGGGCCTTATACTATTCTTAATGAACAAAATATTTTGTTCACCACGCAACAGAAATTTTTAAATTCAATAAACAAATTTGCTAAAATATTTAGTGAAAGTATTATTTTTTAGGCATAAAGCCGTCAAATTTTAAATTTATAATCATGTGTAGTAATTAATAAATTCAATTATTCGATTTTTACAAGTTTTGAGCCCGTTTAAAATTAATTTTAAAGTGCCAAGAATCAAGCAAGAATCCAAAATTTTAATGATCAGAATAAAGATTAAATAAGAATAGGCTGATTGCTAGCTTTGAAAGAATGTAAACTTATTTTCTATATTTAACAAATTTTTAATGATTATTTAGAAATAAAAGATGAAACTGATCAGCCAAGACAAAAACAGACTTCCATTTGCGAGGAAAAATTGTCGCATGACGAATCTAATGGAATTCCATTGAAAGACATTCCCTTAATTGACGACAGCCAAGAAAATCTTAATTACATTGAAGGTAGGTATTCTTAGTATTTTACAAAAAAAAAAAAATTATTATCAACTTTTTGACTTACAAGGACCCAGGAGTCCCCGTCCAGGACTGATTCACATTGAAAACGCGTCAGCCAGTTGGGTAGAGGGTGGCGACGTGACCCTGAACAAAATCAACCTTAGGGCGGAGCCAGGGTCGCTGGTGGCTGTGATCGGTGCCGTGGGCTCCGGCAAGTCGTCGCTGATCCAGGCGCTGCTGGGGGAGCTGCCGTGGGGTGGAGGAGGGGGAGGGGTGGAGGCGCGGGGGGTGTCGTACTCGTCGCAGGAGCCGTGGGTGTTCTCGGGCAGCGTGCGCGAGAACGTGGTGTTCGGGCGGCCGTTCGAGCGGCGCAGGTACAACCAGGTGCTGAAGGCGTGCTGCCTGCTGCCCGACCTGAAGCGCATGCGCAACGGCGACGCGACGCTGGTGGGCGAGCGCGGCGGCGCGCTCAGCGGCGGCCAGAAGGCGCGCCTCACGCTCGCCAGGGCTGCCTACGCTCAGCATGTCGATGCCTACCTGCTCGACGAGCCGCTCGCCGCCCTTGACGTAAATGTGGCCAAGCATGTCTTTGACGAGTGCGTCGACGGACTCCTCAGGGGCACCACCCGAATCCTCGTCACCAATCAAATTCATCTTTTGGAAAGGGCAGATCTGATCGTCCTCCTTCACAATGGATCGATTGTTGCACAAGTAAAAAATAAATTTTTTATTCCATTATATTCAAACTTTTTTTTATGAAAGGGAACTTTTCAACAATTAATAAAAGGAGAGGGAAACTTTTCTCAAATGGTGGGTGAGCCGGCTGGAGATGATATTGGCACCGAAGAGGGAGAACGGGCAGGCACCCCTTTAAAATCTCTCCTACGCCAAATTTCCAGTACCTCCCAGCAGAGTCTCAATCAACCAAAAGAAGAGGAGGTTGAAGAGGACCATCAGGAACAGCCGAAAATTGATGCGGAAAAGAACGTCCAAGGATCCGTGGACATTTCCGTATATAAAAAATATTATTCCTTGGGAGGAAACTGTTTTACATTAACAAGCATGGTTGCTCTCTTTATCTTAACACAAGTGGCAGCCAGTGCTGCTGATTTCTGGGTTGCATTTTGGACCACAACCGAGCAGAAAAGATACGCAGTAAATTATTACTTTAACCAAACACTGAATGAATCTATGAGCAAAGGTATTGTTATTCTTTTTTTGCTATAAATTATAATTTTTTTAAACCAAATTTGATTGTAATAGATGTTTATGAAGAGTATGAGAGCCTCATGTCAACCGACACCTGCATACAAATTTACAGTGGACTTTTGATTGCCCTTTTTGTCACTGCAATCAGCCGATCTTTGGTGTTTTACATTGTTGCAATGAAGGCGTCAAGAGGAATGCATGACAAAATGTTCAACGCGATTGTTCACACGCCGATGCATTTTTTCTCCTGGAATCCAGCAGGGAGAATTTTGAACAGGTAGGCAACCTGCCCAACGTTTTTGCACCGCGGGTTGCGGAACTTGTACATATTCGGGGGTTTAACTTAATATTTCTAATTTAGATTCGCTCGCGACTTGAGCGGCGTTGACGAAAATCTACCAAAAGCAACTTTGGACGCCGGCCAGTACTTGGCTGCCATGCTGGGTAGCGTCATAATTGTCGGAATCGTGAATCCAATTTTTCTTATTCCAGTTTTAATCACGGGAATTATTTTTTCAAAAATCCGAAGCAAATACCTAATTTCCTCTCGGAGAATTAAACGCCTGGAGAGTGCGGCTCGCAGTCCAGTTTTCTCCCTTTTGGCCGACGTGCTGAGTGATTTATCCACAGTCAGAGCTTTGAGCGCAGAATCAATGTTGAGAGCCAAAGTTGAGGATTTCCAAGACACGCATACGGCTGCGTGGTTTATGTACTGCTCCGTCGGCCAAGCTTTTGGATTTTTGCTGGACATTCTCGTCCTTATTTTCATCGCGTTCATCACTTTCGGATTCCTTTTGCTGCCAAGTGACAACATTTCTGGTTCTGCTGTTGGCTTGGCCATAACTCAGGCTATGGCTTTGACAGGTTTTCTAAATCTTATATTTTTTTCCAGTAATATTTAAAATATTTTTCTCACCAGGACTTTTGAATTGGGCTGTCCGCCAATCAGCCGAGGTTGAAAATTTAATGACGTCAGTTGAGAGGTCATTGGAATACACACAATTAGAACAAGAAAAGCAGCCTGATCCTTCAAATACTTTCGTTCCAGAAAATGTATTTTTTTTTTAAGAATAATAATTTATTAGAAATAAAAACTTTTTCTTTTTTAGTTTTGGCCTTCGGATGGTAAGGTTGAATTTAAAAACGCGTGTCTTCGTTACAACCCTGACCAGCCGCTGATACTGAAAAATTTCAACCTGAAGGTCCAGCCGGGGCACAAAGTCGGCATAGTGGGTAGAACTGGTGCTGGAAAATCGTCATTGATAAATGCCCTGTTCCGTCTGGCACCTCTTGAAGGTGAAGTTAAAATAGACTCAGTCAACACGAGTACCTTAACCCTGCAGGACCTTCGCTCGAAAATTTCCATCATTCCGCAAGACCCCGTTTTATTTTCTGGCACGCTCAGATACAATCTAGACCCTTTTGGCGAATATCCAGATTTTTTGCTCTGGAGAGCACTCGAAGATGTGAGTTTATTTTTAATTATTTACAAACAGATTTTTCATTTACCTAGATTTCTTCATAATGTGCATACTATTTTTAATATTCTTGATCTTATTTCATTTCATACTTTTTGCTTATTAAATAATTTTCAAGGTGGAATTGAAAGATTCAGTAGCAGAAATAGCTGGTTTGGACAGTCCAGTTTCTGCTGGCGGGACAAATTGGAGTGTGGGACAACGGCAACTTTTGTGTTTGGCGCGCACAATTATTCGCAGAAATAAAGTTCTGGTCCTCGACGAGGCGACTGCTAACGTCGACCCACAGTAAATTTTCAAAATCAAATTTATTAACAATATGCTATAAAAAATTAATCAAATTGCAGAACTGATGCTCTAATTCAGGCAACTATTCGAAAGCAATTTAAGGACTGCACTGTGCTCACTATTGCACATAGATTGAACACAATCATGGATTCAGATATGGTGCTTGTTATGGCTGATGGCCAACTTGTGGTAAATTGCTTTTTCAAAATATTCAACTCTTGCAAACAACTGATTTTGAATTTACTTTCTCATAAATAATCTTCCGCTGATCAATAATCACTAATGGAAAATATGAAAATAAATTAATAAATTGCATGCATTGTCTTCTTTCATTTTCTTTAGGAATACGGACCGCCGTTTGAGCTTCTTCAAACTGATGCTGGTGCTTTCAGAAAAATGGTTGATGAGACTGGTCGAAACACTGCCAAAGCCTTGGAAAAAGTCGCAGAAAAGGCATATCATAGCAAAAGTGATTAATGTTTACGATTTTAAATAAAAATATATATTTCTTTCAAATTTGCATGTTAGTTTTATAGTCATTTTACAATTCTTCCGCTCTCCAGTAATATTACTCTATCGCATTCGTGCACATTGCGAGGCTTGTGAGCGATGGTCAGCACTGTGCAGTTTGGAAATTTCTCGTCAAGAAGCTTTTTAATGTGCGAGTCAGTTCTAGAGACAACAGACAAATTTCTAGTTTATTTTAAAATTAAGCAAAAATTTAAAAACTTTAAAAAATCTGGTAAATGGAAGAAAAATTAATAAAATGGAATTGAATTTCTAGGAAAAACAAAAGACTGTTTTTGGGATAAAATATTAAAAGGTTTAGAAATTACATAAAGTCAATGTTGGCCGTAGCTTCGTCAAGAATTAAAATCCTATTAGTTCTTAGTATGGCTCTAGCTAGACATAGCAGTTGCTTTTGCCCAACGCTTAGATTTAAATCCACGTCTTTGCCAATTTCATCTGGGCCATAAATCAAACTTGAAAGACCAACCTATGAGAGAAGTTTTAATTTATAGTTTAAAATTATGTCATTAAATTTACGTCTCGCAAAACACCATACAGCTTCTTATCAGAGTAAAAATAGCTCGGGTCCAAATTTCTGCGTATGCTCCCAGCAAATACTGTTGGGTTTTGAGAAATCATTGAGATATTTCTTCTTAAATTGTGCGTGTGGACTTTTGAGATGTTGACTCCATCTATAGTTATTTCGCCTTCAAATGCGATTAGTCGGAAAAGGGCTTTGATAAGGCTTGATTTTCCAGCACCCGTTCTTCCAACTACTCCAATCTTTTGAAAAATATTATAAATTCAATAAATAATTGGTATTTAAAAAAGAAACTCACTTTTTCCCCAGACTGGATTCTTATATTAATATTTTGAAGAATACTAACTTTTCCACTGGCATTAACAGAAACGTTATCAAACTTTATTTGTCCATAATTAGGCCAGCCCTAAAATACATTTAAAAACAAAAATTAAGTAAAATTTTAAATTTAACATCTCAGCTTAAAAAACCTTTGGCACACTAAGTTCGGGGACGGTTTCATTTTCCTTCTTGAGATTTGAATACTCCATGACCCGCTCAAAATTTGTCATCAGATTTTCAGTCTCAGCGGACTGCCTCACGCACCACTGAAGTAAACCTATTATTTTAAATTGCAAATTTAAAAAAAAAGTTCAACATAAAATTTTTCACCAGTAATGGAGATGGCTTGGGTCAGCGCCAAACCTACGTTTTCACTTGTGTAGGTTGTTGAATAATTGACAAAATAAATTATCAGAAGTGCGACGCAAGCCACGCAAATCACGTCCAGGAAAAATCCGAAAGCCGTGCTTGTGCCGAAAAGAAGAAGCGAGCTGGAGTAATTAACGTCGAGCAGCTCAGACATCTCCTGCTTCAAAATTTCCTCCCTGACGAAAGCTCTAATCAAAGTTATTCCTTCAAAAGTTTCACTCAGACGGGTAAAAATCGGGCTTCGAGAGGTAGCGTCGACCCGTTTTAAGACTCTGCTCGTCTCCAAATAATACTCCTTGGCTTTGAGGATTGCGAATAAAAATGCGCCCACGGGCACGAGAAACACAGGGCTTATCACGAAAATTATAATTAGCGAACCAGAGATCAAGGTGAAGTATTGAATCGTGTCCAGCATGATTCGCGGAAGGGTCACGTCAACTGAGAGCAGATCGGAGGAAAATCTGCAAGTATTTATAAATTTTGTGAAAATCGCTAGTTCAAATCCCCCAAAAGAATACCTGTTTAGAATTGTGCCACTTGGTGTTTTTATGAAAAATTCATACTCTGCACTCAAGACGGACGAGAGCATGGATTTGTGGATATTTATTGAGGAATTTTTCAAAATTCGGAAATACAAAATCGATCTTGCTAGAGCTAAGGTGAACAAAAGTGTCATTAACGCCAAATAGACATTTAAGCAGTTAAAGACCGAGTCCGATGCTAAGAAATTGTTTATAAAGTTAGAAGCATTGTTATCTTTGCCAATGCAAACAGTCACCCAGAAATCAGACACACTGACTATGGTTTGAGTGAGGAAAAATAAGAAAATTAAAAGAAACAGACACGTGAAGGAGCCGCTTTTAGTCCAGTAGAGAAGGTATTGCGATAGTGGCAATCTAACTCTGCGTTGATTTTCATTCAAATTTTGAGGTTGACACTTGTCTTTATAGGATTGGTGGTCAGTTTCACCGTCGTTATCACGGGCTCCTTCTTTCAGTATTGGTTGCACGATAATCTCCTTTATCAGCTCATTCATCGATTCATTATTAGCAACATCAACAAACGACCCCTTTAAGATGATATTATTAAAGTATATATTAGTAACTGCATTCAGCTTCTTCAAATTATTTGTCAAAATATTTGTATAAAAATAGAAGTTATAATAATTATAGATTAATATTAATTTTTAATACAATAAATAATAAGAGATATTATATATCAATAACAACAAAATTACAGGCTTATAATTATATAAAAAAATTAAATTTATTATGCATTTTATTAATTTATTATTTTATGTAAATTTAAATAAAATGAAAAACCAATTCATTTCTCAAATTTTAATATTGTTGTTAACTTTATCAACTTTTTAATTTTTTCTAAATATAAACAAATTAATAAATTCCTGCCCCTTTTTTTCAAATGAATATAAATTTGAAGCTATAGCTATATTGATATAACTTTCTGGTTTTTTTGACAAAACTTAAAAAATATGTTTAGACATTTTAACAATAGATAAAAATAATATAAAAAGGGTTTGTAAGCAAAATATTCTCACCTGAGCAACAATTTTTGCTCTGTTCATGACAACGATAAGGTCGGCGTTGCGCAGCAAGTGGAGCTGGTTGGTGACGAGGACGCGGGTGGTGCCCCTGAGGAGTCCGTCAACGCACTCGTCAAAGACATGCTTGGCCACATTCACGTCAAGGGCGGCGAGCGGCTCGTCGAGCAGGTAGGCATCGACGTGTTGCGCGTAGGCAGCCCTGGCGAGCGTGAGGCGCGCCTTCTGGCCGCCGCTGAGCGCGCCGCCGCGCTCGCCCACCAGCGTCGCGTCGCCGTTGCGCATGCGCTTCAGGTCGGGCAGCAGGCAGCACGCCTTCAGCACCTGGTTGTACCTGCGCCGCTCGAACGGCCGCCCGAACACCACGTTCTCGCGCACGCTGCCTGAGAACACCCACGGCTCCTGCGATGAGTACGACACCCCCCGCGCCTCCACCCCTCCCCCGCCTCCACCCCACGGCAGCTCCCCCAGCAGCGCCTGGATCAGCGACGACTTGCCGGAGCCCACGGCACCGATCACAGCCACCAGCGACCCGGGCTCCACCCTCAGGTTGATTTTGTTCAGGGTCACGTCGCCACCTTCCACCCAACTGGCGGAAGCGTTTTTAACAGAAATCCTTCCCTTAATCAAATTTCCTTTCAATTCGGTCGCAATTTCATCACTTTTTATCAGATCTGGAAATGCAAAATTTTATACATAAATTTTCTTAAAACTTAATTAATTTACTTTCATTTTCTTCAATTTCTATTTTTCCGGTCCGGGCTTCATCTGATTTTTCCTTCATATTTAGAAATACCTGAATTCTTTGAATTGAAACTTTTAATTCAGAGAGCTCCGCAACTCCTCTGATGAACGCGCCGGCGAGTGTGTTTGACATGATTGAGTACAGAGATGAGATCACGAATACTTTGTCAGCGCTCAATCGGTTTCCACTGACAATGTACACAAACAGGGTTATGAAAAGGGCCATCCTTGTTGTGAATATGCTGAATGTCATGTACAGCGCTCGCACATATGATGCTCTGGCGATCCATTTCAACTCTGAACTATAATTGAATGATTTAAATTTGTATAATTATTATTTAATATTTACGTTCGTAATTTTGATGCAATTATTTTAAATGGCTTTTCCCAAACTTGCACTTTAATGGTTTCGATTCCAGCCAAAATCTCACTCATAAGTTTAACCCTGCGGTCACCGTACTCTGCAGACTTTTTCCGAAATTTCGCCGTCATCGTTCCAGTCCACGCTGAATATAAAATAATTCTTTAACAGCCAAAAATCAGTTTCAATTTACATTGAATGGGACACACAATAAGAACAACCACGACGCCGAACAGACCGTCCCATCCGATTTCTCGCACTATGAGCACACTGGTGACGACGCCGACGGTCAACGAACTCCACATCAAGTGTGCATAATAGAGCATCTGATCAAACTTGGCCACGTCGCTGGAAAATATGTTGATTAACTTCCCACTTTTCAATTTTTCCAATTCAGCGAGATTCGTTTTTAAAATCTGATAAATTTAACAATTAGATTATTTATAATGAAACAAATAAATGTTTTGAAATTTACTTTTTTATAGAGGAGGGCTGAAGTAGCAGATTTCATTTTGATTCCCGCACGGTAGCAGTGAAATGAATAGTGGCTCATGTAGAGAATGTTTAGCAACAGGGTTGATATGAGTGCGGTCACAATAAAAAAAGCCTCTCGCTGACTCATTTCGCTCTTCGCGCTGAATAGTTGCAGCAAAGCGCCGAGCAAAACTGGTTGCGTACACCTGAGTTTAAAAATAATTTTTTTTAATGTCAGTCAAGAATTATATATAATTTTTTTGGCGCTGCAATTTGTCTTGCCTGAAAATTACTTCGTTGAAGAATGTCATGCAACCCGTTATGAATATGTCATACTTGAAGGTGGCGAGTAGTGCGAAGAGGAAATTATTTCTGTCTCGCCACTCCCTAAATAAGAGGTATCAAAAAAAGCTTTCATATAAATTATAATTGTAAGCAATCTCACTTTTCTAATCGCTGGGCTAAATGGCAGGCTTTGTCTCTCTCACTTATCTTAAAAAAATCTTTCAAACGAGACGGGTGGAAACTTTTGAAATTCCTGCAAAATTGGAAAACCGGTTTGGTCCACCAGAACGTCAAATTGGCCAAAAGCGATATTTTCTCCAGGTTGAGCGGGTTATTTTTTAAAGGCACGTCTGACCTACCGGTCATGTTTGTGGTTACGCAAGTTTAATTATGATTTCGAGTCTTACCCGTCCATGATATTTCACGGCTGCGATTCCCAACGAAGCGGCGACGGATGTTTTTTATCTCGTCGTGCACCGCACCATTTGAACGCATATACTAACAATAAGATGCAAGTCAGCGTGAATGTCGTCGTCCGAGTGTGCTTTGAATGTCTGAGCGTAATTATCTCGTCAGTGGAGTTGGGCAACAACGCTGGCGACAAAACGCCCTCGTTCGCTCGCCGTTCACATGGCTTAGTGTTTGTTTGCCTCAATGGGCTCAATGCAGTCTGTTAAAAATTATCGCAGAGTCTAATTGATAACGAAAATAACTTATCGTTTAAATTCTTGATTTGACATTCACTTCATCTCATTATCAAAATTAAGAAATGTGATTGTAAAAAAGTAAATAATATCTTAAATCTTAAAATTTGGTAATGATTAATTAATTTTTAATTTTCTCTTCTTATATAAATAAAAGCCTTAAAATATTTTTTCACGAGTACAAAAATAAAAATGTCTGATAAATTAAATTAGATTTTTCTTTAACAGAAAAGTAATTAGATAACTTTGAGCAAAGTAAATTGCGCGCGCGGTATCACTATGGAATACAACGTTATAAATTAATTAAGAATTTAATCTACTTGAAACATATTTCAAAGTTTGAATTAAAAATCTCTTACAAGGTGTTTGAAATTGTAGCTTCAAACAAGTTATGGCCAATTTTATTAACTTATAATTTGAATAACAAATCTAACGATATGCGTAAAAGTTTTCACATTTATTTACTTTTGCACCAGTTAATAATATTCAATATTTGTATATTTTTTCGCACGACTTACGTAATGCCTTTTTTATGATAGTAAAAATGTATCAGTTTCGTTGTTCTTTTCTTGCATCATGAACGTTCAACTTTATCCTCTCGTATTTTCTTGCCTCATCCTGGTATCTTTTGATTTGTCCCCAAAGTTTCTCGGAGCTGTTAAGGTTGTGATTAATATTGATACTTGAATTCTATTTGATTAATTGAAAATTAATTAAATTATTATTAATAATAATTAATTAATTTTAATTATTTAAAATGTATTAATTAATTTGTTATTACAAAAACTGTAAAAAAAATTGGCCAATTGGGCCACATAAAATTTATTATGACTTTTTTGTATCTTCTTAACTTGGCATTTTCAGTTAAGGATGCTCCAACCACAAAAAATTTATAATTAAATTATTCAATGCATAACTTTTTAATATAAAGTTTTTATAAAACAGTTTGATTCAAGCAACGCAACATCAATCAACTTGACATTTCCTTTTCAAATATTGGATAAGCGCAGACCAATATCATATATGACTGCTGCTGAAGTGCTTGCATATGAAGAAAATGAAACCAACGTGCCAAAAATAGATTTTGTAAACACGAATGGAACTTATTTTCAGCCTGGTATAACAGAAATATTATTTGTATATGCGAGGATAAAAAATATAATTCATATTGACAGACACTGCGGGAATTTCATTTCTCGACTCTAACTCGTCCCTGACGCCGCAAATCATAGGAGGAAACTCAGTTCAGCAACGCCAATTCCCGTGGCTCACGCTGATCATCATCAACCTGAGTTCCATGTGCGGTGGGTCACTTATTTCTGAACGATGGGTTCTCACTGCGTGTCATTGCACGCGAGGGTAATTTTAAATTAATTGATATTTTTAATCTCAAAAATTTCGTTTTCGCAGAATGTGGTCGGGCTTAATATTTGCTGGAGGCATTAACCGTTTGATAAACGAGACGTTTGAATTTCTCCAATTTTCTATGAGCTCCTCTTGTCACGAGAATTATAACGATATCTATGTTATCAACGACATCTCAGTCATTCGCTTGGCAAGCCCGTTCACACTTAGTATTATATTTTCTTTAATTAAAATTATAGCTAATATATTGTTTTCATTCGTGATAGCGGAATTCGTCAATGTCGTTCAACTGCCCAGAATTTCTGACGCTACCAACTATTTTGCTGGAATCACAACCACTGCCGCCGGTTATGGAAGGACCAGTGATTGTAAAGAATTAAAAATTTCTCTGCATTTAAAACAATCAAATTATAATTATTTTATTAATGACCTGCAGCATCTCCATTCAGCATATTTCTGCAAGCGGCTGATTTAAGCACCATTATCAACTCAAAATGTGCTGCGTACTATGGTGGCCAAAGCATTGTGTCCTCCTCGTTGTGCACCGGAATTGACCCAACAAAAGCAACTTGTGAAGTAATTCATCTTAAAAATGCAGTCGGAAATAATCAAAGGATAATTAATGCAGGGTGACAGCGGAGGTCCTTTGGTTTACAAAGAGACAGCAACGAGATACACGCAAATCGGCATTGTATCGTTTAGCTCGATTGATGGGTGCCTAGTAGCGCCGGCAGCGTACACAAGGGTCACTTCCTATCTTGGCTGGATTTCGGCCAAGACCGGCATTATTATCAGAATGTGACCAAGGTGGATGATGCATTTTGAATCAAAATCACGATTCTACTATTTAAATTTGCCACGAATATTTTAAATTTGATTTTCACGTAAAAATATGTATTTTTAATTCTGCCCTCAAGTCTCATTCAATTATAATAAAAATTTCCCAATAAAAAGTTAAACCACATAAACAAAGTTGTTGAAATTATTTAACTATAAAAAAAATTATAAAAATAAAAGAAACTCTGGTCGCTGCAACTAGAGTTCTTCGAGTGTGATAAGCTTAGTCACGGCGACCTGCTCCTCTAAATAATTAAATTAATCGCATTAACATGAAAACAATATAAAGAAGAAAATTTGAATAATAATAATATTGTGCATGGAATGTTTTTGAAAGTAGATAATTATTATTGATAATTATGACGGTTGAATAAGATCAACACACAACGTATTTAGAGCACAACTTCAGAAGTTAAGATCGGAAATGCATAAATAATAATAATATGTAAAACATTTTTTACATAATATTTTTCTTTAAAAATATTCTTAAATGAGTAGTAAAATGCATCCGGTATTTAAAATTGATTTCCATGCAATTAAATACTTCAATATTTTTATTAGGTTTGATTATATTGATTTGTTTTGAACTATACTTTCAAAATTAAAAATATTAGAAAATTATTTTTGAGAGCAATTTATTTTATTCGGCGTGTCTATTATATTGAGAGAATATGATTAATAAATATTATGTACTAATCAGAGACACATTTAAACATATTTGCATATCGACATCATAATTTAACCTAGATTATATTTATATACCATTTTTATTTTGCTGCAAAAGAAAAGATTTGTTATGCAAAAAGATAAAATGAAAGTTTAACAAATATCCGTGACTCTCTGTCATCTGCATTAATTCAAACAGTACGTTTTTAAGCTTGCATCAACATGAACGTCCTCGTTTATTCTGTCATTTCCTTTGGCTTTATCTGGCTAACAGTTAATTTAATTCAAAATTGCCACGGAGTTCGGGTAAAATTTCTTTAATACATAAAAATTTAATGTTTTATAAAAACGCTGTAAATTAAATTTATACCGAGTTTCATGAAAAATGAGTTGATGGAATATTTTCATTAAGTATTAATCAGCTTTCCAGCATCTACCCTAACGTAACAAAGTGGAAACATGCTGACAGGAGAGTGCAACTGAATTACATGAGCCCCCTACAAGTGATTGCTTATGAAACAAATTCAAGCAATTTGCCCAAACAGGATTTAAAATACGCAAATTCTGCTGGAAAAGATCCTCAACCAAGTATCATATTAATTTTTTCAAAGACTATACATTAAATTTTTTCCATGAAAGGTAGTGCGGGCATTTCCTATCTTCCTGACAGTGTCGGCTATTCCTCAATTTTGACTCCCCAAATCATTTCCGGAACCAGAGTACTGAGTCGTCAGTACCCTTGGTACGCGCTGCTAATTTTGGACTTCGGCTCACTTTGTGGCGGGACTCTTATCAGCGCGAGATGGGTCCTCACAGCTTGTCATTGCACGGAATAGTAAACTTAAAGTCGATATATTAAACAATTCAATTAATTAATCAACTAGAGCTGCCAACCTATGCAGAACGGATTTTAATTAAGATTTTTTTCTTTTAATTTAAAAAATTAGCTCTATATTATTTGAATAAAATATATTAAATTGATTTGTTCAAATGATTATTAATTTGGTGTAACTGGCTGATTGTAATTTAACTAATTCGAGCACATTTTTAGCATTTCCTTGGCCATCGTTTATGCCGGAGGTGTGGACCAGACGATCAGTGAGCCTTTTGAATCTTTTCGATACTCGACCAAATTTTGGTGTCACGAGGAATACAACTACAACTATGTCAATAACGACATCGCCGTCATACAATTGGAGAATTCGTTTGTATTAAGTAAAATAAAATAGTGCACATTATGATATCCCGAGAATTGACCGAGCCCAAAATTGTTGACAGACCAATACATCAATGTGATTCAGTTGCCCAGAACATCCGACGCCACAAACACTTTTGCTGGGACTGTAGCCACCGTAGCAGGATTTGGGAAAGTCAACGATTGTATAATTAGAAATTATTAAAATATAATTCAATAAAATTGATTTTCCGTTTTTGCACAGCATCTTTGGCGAGCCCTTATTTACTCACAGTTGATTTGGACGTGATTATCAACTCGAGATGCGCCGCTTACTATGGAGGTGCAACTGTGATTTCGTCGACAATCTGCACTGGCGACGATCCCATAAAATCAATTTGCGAAGTAATATTTTTTTCTAATTATCTCTCTTAAAAAAGGGTTTATTTCGCGTTTAATTTAAATGTTTTAAAGTTTTTTTGTTTTACAAATAAAAAGTATAGACACTTTAAAGATCCTGTAAAAAAATTATTTTCCAGGGTGACAGTGGCAGTGCACTGATGTACAAAGAGCTTTCTACAAATAGATTCACTCAAATTGGTATTGTGTCATTTGGTTCCATCGATGGATGCGTGGGAACACCTGCTGGCTATGCAAGAGTTACTTCCTTCCTTAATTGGATTTCCATGAGAACAGGCATTGCAATAAGACCATAATGTGCGCATAACGGTTTGGTTTGGGTGAAAGGAGAGCTTCACAACTTTTTAATAATATGAACCGGCCTCTTAAGGGTTGTTTTTGTTTCGATAAATGGTCTGAATTATACTATTCTTAATGCATTATTTTTGTGGTTTACCAAATCTTGCAGTAAAAATAAAAATAAGTGCAAAAAAATCAATGTGTATTCTTGAAATAATGGTTTGCGCGTTCATTGCCCAACCCAAATAATTTTTTTCTTCAAAACTTGGTTGAAGAAGATTCGTGTAATTTTAACGTTTAAAAAATTATATTTCTAATTTTTTCCAAAGGCTAAAGCTTTAGAGAATATTTCTGAATGTGATTTTCAATTTATACCTGCGAATTTTTTAACTCAGGGACAGCTGATTGAAAATTTAATGGCAATTTTAACATAAAATTCACAGAAAAAAAACTGTAAAATTGAAAGATCTACTCGTGACAATTGTAATTATTTGGACAAAGAATTTTCTAACCTTTGGTTTTGTGTTTTGACGATGATAGATGAAATTCGGATGCTCTGGTTTTGATGCCTTCATGTCTCGCCGAAGTTGTCGAACGATGCGAGCGTTCTCCGTAAACATTGCGGAGTCCATAGTTGGACACAAGGAAGGCTGACCACATTTTCCACCATAGCTGACGGAGTTGCCGAAACCACGCATTCAGTCCTGAGTGGAGTTGTTATTGCGGTTCAAACCTGTTTCAAATTTTAAACATTAAAATGATAGCAATGTATAAATTATGTATGTACAAATTTCCCTCCAATTAAGTAATGTATTATTTTCGCTGCGGCAAAATTTTATTAACCTTTAGGCGTGCTAAAAATCGGCATTGAAAATTTAATAATTTTTTTTTAGATAAATTTGCTTTGTTCTTTTCACTGACGCGGTAGTTGTACTAAAGTTGAGGAATAAAATCACAAACCAAAAGATTCAAACAGGGAACGCATGTGATTTGTGAGCGGGATATGGGCGCCATTCCAACTTCAAACTATACCTGAGAGTGTCAGGGTAGGGTCAGCTGGGCCTCAAGATCCATGCCGTGGATGGGTCGGACGAACCCTAAGAAGCCTTTCTTTCGTCGAGAGGGCCAACAAAACACGAATCTTAACAATTAGCGGCACCGGTGCCGCCATGATGCACTGGCCACTGTCACGGCCAAGGTCACTTGCTGCTGTGGTCGGTCGGAGCGAGAGGACAGGAGGGCGGAGGAGGGGAGGCAGCAGGTGGGGATATTAAAAAAATTATATTATGTTCATTTATTCAATTTCATATTGTAAGTGTGAGACCAGAAGAAATGTAGAATAATTATTATTACTTTCCAGAGGAAATTTCATAAATAATTCGGACGTATTGATTTATTTTAAATATTCGTGCAAAATAAAACGATCACATAAGTTGATTTTTTTTTATCGACTGACAAGCATATTAATGATAATATAATGATTTGATTTTCTTGGTAAGCCAACGAAAATTATAAAATTAAACTGATATAAAAGAAAATATTCAAAATTTAACATTGTGTGCAAATAATCCTTTTCAATAATTTTGCATCCTGCCTTGCCACAGAGAGTGACCATATTTTGCGTATTTTGGTTTAGTATAATTTATAAATAACAAACGAGCTGGTATAAAATTTTCAACACTTTTATTTCCATTTGTGCTTCAACAATGATAAATATGCTGTTAATTCCGAGTATAACTTTTCATATAATCGTAGAATAATTACCAATAATAATATACAATATTCATTAAGACCTTGTAAAAACACTTTTTTATTATAACCTGCGCGTGTTAAGATAATTACCGAACATCTTAATCTCAAATTCTCAATTGCTTGTCATGTTTTTAGTTAACACATTTTTTTACTTGTGATTTTCATTTTCAATTTGAAAAATTGTTCTAATACAAGTCGTACTCATTCCCCCTAGATCTCCATGAACTCTTTGGCCTCTGAAAGTGTGATTTTCCATAATTTACAAGAGGAATGGTCCCTAATGCATATTATTTTATACAGAGTTCTAGTTTTCATTCTTGATGTAAAAATAGTATTGTGTGTTTATGTGTGTGTGAGTTTGTTATCAGCAAAATTCACAAGTGCGCGTGTGTTTGTCTGTCGCCGTCGCTCAATACTGAACACGTTTTCTCTCTTTTTCTCAATATTCAAATATTTCTCATAGGCCATTTTTCAAATATAACTCTCGCATTCCTCAACAACAAACCGGCGCTCGATATTTTAATTAATCGCGTGCAAAAAAAACACACTCCTTGCTCGAAAACCGTGTAATGGACGTATTCAATGAGATTGCAAAAGTGCCCAAGTGTGTGAGTGCGGCCTCTTTTATATATAAAAATCCCTGTTTGCGCCTCTTCATCTCTCCTCCAACGATGCGAATCCAAACAAATGGGTTGCAACAAAATCCTCTCCAGCTGAATCTGCGCAATTATTAATTTTTTTCAAATGAAGTCTTACTTATGTAAATTTATTTACCTACTCAACACAGACTGCGGAAATTTCATGATCAACACAAAACACCAAAGGTGGAACATCTTATGGATCAGAGCCAACCAGCAGACATCTGATGACCTCCTAAAATAATAAAAATAAGTGTAATTTCTATTAGAGCAATAACAAGAAAGAATTAGGTGGTAATGGTAAAGGACGGAAATATATATTTTATTGTGAGAAAATAAGGTGGAATTCCAGCATTCACCAAATAAAGAAATAAAAAAATAAAAATAATAATTATATAATTATCAATTTTTAATCCGTCCAAATCTTGACATAACGAATTAGCCTTAAAATTTACCATTTATTTTATATTATCAAGAATAAAGAATATTAGATCAACATAATTTTTTTTTGTCATTATTACAAAAATAATTACCAATGGGCTGAATGCCTGGTAGGTTGGGCAGTACAACGGTGCCGTTGCGATTTTTGAGCATCTGCTGCGCACCCTGATGCGAGGCTGAAGGGGACACTGGGGGCTCGGTGGGGAAAGGCGGCGGTGGAAAGGGAGGCGGCGGGAAAGGCGGAGGCGGCACCAGCTCAAAGGGAACATTTGTGGGGGGCGAAATGGGGGCCAAGGTGGTGCCTTCTCCTGAATCTCTGTGGGTGGTGGCGACGGGCGTCGTTGGCTCGTCAGGACGCGAAGGCACACTGGATGCCCGCAAAAGTCGCTTCTCCCTTTTCTTTGCAGGTCTGCTGATGACACTGAAATGCATAAATTATTCAAATTATTATTTTTTATACACAGTGGGCAATGATTGAAATATTTACATTCAAATTTTTAAAATACAAATCAAATGGGAAATATGGACGAAACGCGTTAACTGAAAAAGCAGCGGTATGCAATTTCTGCATGACTGTGTCGACCAGGTTGCATATCCTACAGGTTATAATTTGATCACACCAGCTGCCAACGACCACGTGCTAACATTTTTAAAATGAGATTGTAAAACAAACAAAAACTAATCAAAGTGAAATTTAATGCGTTTTCTTACAGCGAGATTTCAGTAAAAATGTGAAATAATTATGTGTGTAATTTAAATTTCAAATGTACACAATTTAAATAGCTGCATATTTCACTTTGAATATGTTGGGCAGACCTTTTTTTTGGAACGCTCGGCTTTTTAAAATGGGCTTTCAAAAATGGTTTATTTCCGTTTTGTCTAAATTGCTTGTCTTTTTTTTTAATTATTTAAATTTGTGTACGTGAAGGTTATAAACATGTTTGTAATAATTTCAGAAAAATAAATAAATTTTAAATTATCAATGAATTTAAAAGTTTCAAACGTCAACAATAAACTTAATTATGTACACTGACCTGCTACCAACGCTGCCTCCGGGGGCGCTCTCGGTGGACGAAGAGCCGTGGTGGTGGTGCAAGAGACGCAGACGGAGCGGAGGCTGGAAAAAGCCGCCCCCGCCGCCGCCGCCGCGGCTAGTGACGGAGAGCTCCCTCTTGCGAAGACTGCGGACTAAGCGAAGTCCCCCGCCCCAGGCGGCGCTCAGGGCGCTCAGACTGCCGTGGTGTCGCGGACTCTTGTGACCGGCACGAGGGGGGTCGTCGTCCCTCCCACTTCCAGAGCACGAACTACCCTGCAGACAAAGCACCCTCATCACGCTGCCCAGTCACATTTTTGCGTCAATAAACAAAATAAAAAATATGAAAGATGAATTAACAAAAATAGGAGCCAAAAATCAAAGATCGCATTTGGAAAAATTATTGAAAGGGTAGCATAAAAATTACAACACGATATTCTTAATCTTATTCGTGATTGTTCAAATTAACAGTTAATATTTTAGTCAACTTTGTCCATTCAATTATGCTTGTGAATTAGATCAAATTAAAATTAAAGAGATTGAGGTCAATAAAATAATCCAAAAAAGCAGAAGTTAGGCAGAATACACAAATTGAAATTTAAAATTTTTAATACGTCTTCATGATGTAGTAATAATGACGAAAAAAAATTAATTCAATGTTACTTATCCTTATCTATATGAAAACAAATATTGTGTTTTAATTTACAGATCTTCGAAATGTTTAAGTTCTTCATATTTTTCAATTAATATTTACAGTTCGACTCAATTTTAAAATATATTAAAAGAAAAACAAATTTTAAAAAACTGAATGATTGTACATTAAAATTAAATTATTAATTGAGCAAAAGAAAAAATAAAAATGTAAAGGGTTTTGGAATTTTTATTCAAACTAGAGAATGAATTGCAAATATTAGAATAAATTGAAGTTTAATTTAGTAAATAAAACAAATTGTGTGACTGGGAAGTGGAATTTCTCACCATTTCGTCCTCAAGGTCCTCATCATCGTCGTCGTCCTCCTCATCCCTGCTGTCGCCCCTCTCGGCCACGCCGCCCCTCCTGCTCCTGGTGCTGCTGCCCTCGGGACCGCCGCTGCACATCGAGTCCTGCGAGCGACTCCTGCCCATCAGTCTACGCACCCTGCCCGTCTTGGCCGCCTCGATCAGGGTGCCCCACCGCCGCTTCGAACTCTCCCTCTTGGGCGTCGAGCCCGTTAACCGAGCCAATCGTCCCATGCGCGGTGTCGACTTTTTATCCATCCCGACCACCTCCTGTTCAAATATAAAAATTAATAATAAGTTAAGAATTTACTTACAGAAATGACCGAATAAAGTTATTCAAATATTAAAACTTTTCCTTTTATGAACAAATTTGATGAGCATTGAATTTGAAAAAAAAAAAAACAGATGTTTTATATAAAAAAATAATTATTGTAAAACTAAAAACTTGAAATATTGAAAGATTTAATAAAAAAATATTATAAAATATAAAAAATTTAAAAAGGAAAACTCAATTAAAAAATTTTAAATAATTTATCAATTATATAAAAAATTTAAAATATTTTTAATATAAAAATTTGCTTAAAATTTTTAAAATAAAAAAAACACTAACCTGCAGTGTGGCAATTAAATCGGCACTTGCTGCAGACATGCCAGTCGCCTGCCCGCTTTTGGGCGACGAAGCCGAAGTAGGCGGTGGTGCGATGTTGAAGCCTTTCATCAATCTCCGCTCCTTCTGACGATTTTTCTTTCCGCCAGCTCCTTGCCAAAAATTGGTCACGCATTAAATCTCAAGTTCATTAGCGGAAAAAGTGAAAGCAAGAGAAGCTTAAATATATGAAATGATAATTCTCAAGAGAGAAATAAAGACTAATAATTGTCCTACAATAATTTTAAATTTTTGTAGAAAATTTAATTGCCAATGATTTTTACGAGAGAAAAGCTGAACAAAATAAAAAATATTTAAGTTACAAAACATTTTAACTAATTTTAGGCGTTTAAAAAAGCTAGTAAAAAAAAATTGTGACAACTTTTTTAATCGGCAGTAAATTTACTTTCTTCTGTTTTAAGTACAAGCTAAATTTATATTTTGACAAAAGAAACCCACGTGAGAGGATCGTGTGTTGCGAATTCAGCTTTCCTTTCACGCACGAGGGTGTGCATAATCTGCATCTAATCTCTCACCTCCACCGACGCCACTGGCCGTGGCAGTGTTCATGCCCGAATTCTTCAAAATCTCGATGAGCTCGCAGCGGAATGCCGAGATATCTTGCTTGATCTCATTAACGTCGTCCTCCGTCACCCCTTGACTCTCAGCCTTGCGCTGCTCCACGGTCACATAGCGCCTCACCAGGTTCCGCATGATGCTCTGCAAGTGCACAGAAAAAACTCTTGCCTTCAACGATCTGAACGTTTTTCCACTCTCTCTAATTCTGTTATATATCATTTATAATGAATTATAATTTTGCGACAGCAAAAAAAAACTAGAATTGATTCAGAACTATTTTTTTTTCTTTAAATTTCCACACACATTTTATTTTTTGCCTTTTTCTGTGAAGGCACCACATTTTGTCATAAAATATTAATTATCCAATTCAATTAACAATGCAATGAATTTACAAAATTTATTTAATTTTTGCATGAAAAATTAAGGACTGGAAATTTGGGATAAGATCGAGCTTTATTCTTGAGTTTTGCTGCTTTTGTATTTGGCGAATACGAAGAAATTCTTTCACGTCCCATTTGAATGTCAGTACAAACTTTAAGCTTGAGGGGGCCTTTTGAGGGACTCCGATATGTCCCTTTACAAAAGGTAAAAGGGATCACACCACCAGCTGGACACTGCAAAAAAGTATTTTTACGTACGGCAAAGGGCTTATTGAAAGGCGGATTTGAGTTTTGTAAGGGGAATCAGTCAAAATGAAAAGAACGCTTCCAATTTTAAATGTGCCGAATACAGAAAATCATTTTTTTTCTGATATTAGAGCGTAACTCTTTCTGAAAAAGCTAACATTGTAGTTTTTTTTCCGGCATTGCATTTGCTGACAAAATGTGGGTCTCCTTTATTGGTTGTGATGGTGAATAGTTTGACAAATTTACATTTAATTTGAAAAAACGTATGGCATCTACTTTATCCGGTGATTGTGATGGTTTTTAAATTTATGAAAGCAATTGAAGGAAATGAATTTGTGCAAATATATAGGTGTGAATTATTTTCCGCGTGGGTTTTGGCGTGTGGTGCGGCAAGAGAAGACAAAAAAAATGTGCAAAAGAATCAAAGTATTAAGCAGCATAGAAGAGTGATGCGGCGCAGCATGCGTCTCAGGCGACAATCAAAGGTCACACGCACACACACACAAACAGAAAAGGCCGCGCGGTCGCACACTCGCGATTACCTGCTTTCTGAGCTCCCCGATTCGACGCTCCATGCTAATTAAGCTGCTCCGGGTGGTCGCCTCCACGTCCAACGCGGGGCAACCTTTGTCGTGGCGCCGCCGGGGTGGCGGGGAATCGGGCAAGCAATTCCCGCAGCATTGCTGCGACCCACCAGAGCAATTAACATAAACAATAAGAAGCCAGCCAGCAACAGACACAGAGAGAGAAGGTTCACGTTTGTTTTGTCAAAAAAGAGAGATCAATAGAGAGCGTTTAACTACAAATTTCAGATACACCAGGATAAAGAGGGACTAACAATGGGACAATTTTTTTATATGTATGGATTTTCATTTTTTAAACAAGTAAATATTATCACATCAGGGTTCATAATTTGTTTTTCATAAACTAATTTCAATCAAATATATGGATAGTCAATGTGAATATTATTAAAAATTCAAATTCAAATAATTCCAACTTAATAAATTTTGCTATAAAATAAAAAAAATCAAAGAAATTGAATTGAACGTGATTTTTTAAATGTTTGAATATAATTAAAATAGGTTTATTTTAATTTGATTACTTGGTATTATATTTTAAATTATAAAACTGTTATAAAAGTATTGAATGTATGACTTATTATAAAATGAATTTCTAAACATGTAATTTGTTTTTTATTTGACTGTTAATTTAAAAAAAAGTTGAGCACGTCTTATTTGTAGTAATAAAATAAAAAATTATCAGTTTTGGGTGTTCCATTGCAGGCTCAAAAGGACTCAAATAGAATTAGGGGAGGTCAGACATGCAGACAATCCACGGGTAAACGCAACGGCGGGTTTTGCTGGTCGAAATATCTCAAAGCCTGGCAGTCAAAAAGTGCATTCACCATCACTGGGCTGCTTTGGAGAGTTGCACATGCCACAATGACGCAGAGAAACAAGGAAGTATATTGAAAAATAAACTTTGTCTCAAGATTTATATCAGATGCAAGGCGAAAGGGAGCGTAAAGTTAAAAGGTCGGAACTGCGTTTTAAAGCTGCGTGTGAACTTCAGGATTTACGTATTTTCATGTATTTTTACATACGCAAGCAAAACGGTCGAGTATACAGTGTCTGTATGTATTACAAAGTCATAAAATGTCTAACTCAAATAATAAAGGCGAGATAATTTGGAAATTGCAATGGGACCTTACCTGGTAGCGGAAATCCCTCGCACTCGCTTGCTTCACCTTCCTCTACGGAAAGCACAAAAGATCCAAACACATTAGTTCAGACCAAAATACAGCATTCAAATTAATTAAAGTTTAATTTATTTCAAAAGACAAAAAGGAAAATTCTATCTACTTTTTTTATCAAATATACTTACCCTGATTGTCCGCATGTGTTCCTTTTTGGCCGCCCTGGAGTGGCCGCACACCCTGCGATGAACCCACGTGACAAAGTACCAAACACTTTTCGGAGTCGGAATTATGTTGAACGGAGGCGGAACGGTGCCACCCTCTTCAAAGTAGCTGATCCACAGTTTGCTGCGAGCGAATTTCCATTCCGTGTCCGCTCGTTCCTGTGCAAAATCCCAAATTAGAAATTTCTCGGACGGCGTCTTTAAAGATTGCAGCATTTTTTGTGTATGAGCTGTTTGTATAAATATCAGGACATAAAACTTCGAGCTACAGAATATGCAGTGGATATCAGCCAATGAATTTGTGGAAGCGAATTTCGAGCATTCTCAGGATGCAGCGGTTAAACCTTTGAAGGCCATTAAATTAATATTGAAAAAGGGTAGCAACGCCCAACTGCTGATAAATTTCTCTCTGACGGTTAATTGTAATCTATAAATACGACAAAGACCGGTCCTTTTTTAAGAAGTCTGAAGTTTTTAATTATCCAGAGCTTACGGACAGTTAAATTAATATTTTATATTTACTCAATTTGTTACACTTTTATTGGGAAATACCTAAAAAATCAACGAACTTCTTATTTATACATTAAAATATTTTTTAAAAAAGTTTTTGTTTCAACAAAAAAATTGTCATGATTTGACAAATAGCTACATAATTGATTCTAAAATAAAATATAATATGTGTTTCTACATTATATTTTTATTTACTGATTTTTATTTTATTTCTTGAATTTTAAATATATTTTAAACTTAATAATTATAAATTTCATTCACAAAAAAAAATTTTCCATGGATTATTTCAAATTTTAAATAAATAAACACAAATTTGATAAATTGTATTTATTAAGTTTCTCTACTTCCTTAAGATCTGTTAATAGTGTCAAATCATTCTCAGTGATCTGTGTGCTTGTACATAGATTGGTATTATATTTAAATTAATTATAATTTCAAATAAATAATCATAATCCTAATATTAAAAATAAAATAAATTTACGTTTTTAAATTATAAATTGCTGAACTGAGAATTCAGTAATTGAAAAATCTAATAATGAAAAATCCACTGCAAAAGGAATGATTTTGATTTTTCATGTCGTCCAATTAGTGTGTGTAATGGAAAAGCAAACATTAGAATATATTCTAAAAGATACACCAAACTACCAATCACTACACACTGAACGCCAGGATCGAAGGAAGCAAAACTTCGGAACTCAAAGTAAACCAGTGTGTAACGTTTCTTTGGTATTACGATATGAAGAGAAAGTGAATTAATAGGGCATAATCTTCTTTCAAATTCACGTCAACAGCATAGAGTTGGGCGCCACAAACCAAATGAAAATAATAAAAAGGGCCAATCTATTAATTTTGATCAAGAGAAAGAGCCGCTGTGCTCCTAATACACCAGCAGGGCGACACATACAAACCGCAGGCAGGCACACAAGAGCAGGTCGCGAGAGTGAAGCTCTCGGTATGGTTTTAGTAGTTATGTATGTAGTTGTAGTAGAGTAGAGTAGTGGGACATCCATAGAACACCCAGCCAGCCAGCAGTCAAATGTGTTTCAGGGGGAGAGAGAGATGAGAATGTATACGAAATACAATGAGAAGGTTTGGGAGATTAATAGACTGGTGAAAGAAGCAGAGTCTTCAAAAAAAGTAACCTCTTGGCTTTTTTTAAGATTAAATTTTTAAACAGTCAAAAAGAGGGCTGAAATTATTTTTAAGCAAGGTTATTTTATTATTTTATGCATAGAAAAAAACTAAAAAAAGGATGGAAATGTAAATCTTACATTTTTTTAAGATTATGACAGCACTTTTCAACTAACAATAAGACGAGGCTCATATATTTTAAAGTAATTTAACACAATTTATAGCTTCATGAGTTTTTAATAAAATTTTGTAATAATTAAGGCCTATAGATACGGTATTAATAAAAGCACTTAATAATATTAAAAATAGTCAATAAACAGCTCAAAACAGAAATTGTCTCTTTTTGTTTGAAAAAGTTGATTAAACCAGTTGCATTTTTTCCCAGATTAAAGAATTAATTCCGGAGGCCTCAAAATAAATAACGAATTGCAAAAAAGCCTTTTTCACCAGTCTAGAAATTAGTTGAGAAACCAAAATGGAGTCGATTTAAAACCAAATGTGAGGAAATCATAATAGGGGTGTGCTGCATCCACTGGCAATTAATGAGGCTACCTTTGCAGGTTGCCTAAACCGCAGCTCGTGTTTTGTTAGGAAAGTTGATGAGGCGCTGCTCTGGCTCTTTACCGAGATGAGTTGGTACGAGTGGTTCATCATGGCGATCAGCAGGTTCAGCAGCACCACGATGTTGATCACCGAGTACGTGCCGAACATCAGCATGCCCCAGAAGCGGGTGAAGCTCTTGATGCCGGCCAACTCGAAGTTGTTCAAGTCGACCAGGCCAAACACGGCCCAGAACAGTGTCTGCGTCGTCTCGAACAGGCTGAAATTGTAAAATAAAATTAATTTAATTTTTTCCCTTTATTTTCTCCAAATTTATTTATTTATTGAAATTAATTTTACATTAAATCTGGTGCCACTCCCAGAAAGACTTAAAAATAACAAATCTAATGAGTATTTTGATGCAGATAAAATTCAGGAAATATTTTTTTGATTTACTTTGCAAATCGTCTCCAGACGATGCAAGCGTCAGTGTCGGTAGAGGTGGTGGTGTTGCCCAGTTCGGAGCCTTGGGCGAGATTGGGGCACCGCTGTCGCTCCATGTCGGCGTAGTACCACAGAAGTTGATTGAGACCACAGGAAAAGGCAAAGAGCACCAGGACGTACAAGAAGAAGAACTTCATAATGTCCATCACCATCCTGCTGAGGGACACTTGCAGCGGTCCCAGGTACGGATTCACAGAGAATATGTACACAAGTTTCAAAGAACTGGAACGAAAAAGGGAAAAATCTCATTTACTTATAAAAAAAATCGATTCAAACTCTGATTGTAAAAGTAAAAGGAACGTAAATTAAATGAAGAAAAATCATTTAGTTTATTTTTTATGAGATAGTTTAAAAAATACAAAATAAATAAATTATAAAAGCGATAAAAGCAGAGCATAATAGACGCAGTTTTAAATTTATATACAAATAAAAATTTGTGGTTTCAAATAAAATTGATTTTACTGAATTTAAATTTGAATAAAGCTGGTGGCAAAGGCAATATGTTTTAAAGAGTTGAATTGTTTAATCTGAAGCCACGTTATATTTATTTTGGCTTCAATTAACAAGTAAATTATTCGATTATCTATATCTCTAGGCTTGGAAACAATTCTGAGAAATTGCAACATCCACAAAAGTTGTTAAAAATAATTTAAAATTAATTTGATCAAGTTTTAATCATTTATTACCGTTTATAAATCTGATTATTTGCTTATTAAAGGTTCATGAAAATTGCTCCTTGAATTAAATTGAATAAATAAATTATTTTAAGTATAAAAATAACAACTATGATAAAATTGGTTTTGTGTTTTACCTGAAAATGTTAGCAGCTGAAAAAAGGCCCTCGGCTATGAGCATGGGGTCCCACGCGTCCCACTCCTCGCGTTTGCTGTGGACGTAGAAGCCATTGGCTTTTTCCCTTTGCACCTGAAACAACGACATGTTCTAATTCTAAGTTCCGCTCTCGAGCAAAGTCATTTGACTCTAAATAAACAAGCGAGAGGGAGTGAAAGGAGTCACCTGGTAGTAGGAAACAAGGCGGAGAGCCACAGTGGCGACGTACAGGGAATTGGTGACAAAGTCGATGACGTTCCACATGTCGCGTGCGTATTCTTGAAAGCCCACGTCCCACAGTTGTTTAATTTCGCTCCAGATCAGACCTGACAACACGGAAAAAGAAACACGCTCTAGATTTATGTGTTCTGAGGAATTCACTCGCGCGAGAGGAAGATCTATGGATGTATTTACAATAGAAATGCTTTTTTCTTTATCCCTCAGTAGAAGTCAAGGGAGAGTGGAAAAGGATTTATTTTACGCCTAGATGTGCTAACTTTGAAAGCTGCTTTAGCGAAATGCTAATTTTGCGGAGAACACATTAATTTTGAATATGCGCAAAGTTTAATAGAGTCGGCTCATTAAGCATTTATTATTATACCAAGTAGTTTAAGGTGAATTATGAATAAAATTTATGCAATTTACTTTGATTAGTTATAATATAATAATGATACTTTTGAAAGGAAAGTATTAAAAGTTTGACAAACAGTAAATAAGTAAGCAAGTAATTTTAAATTTATATAATAATTATAATCATCTTATTTTACGCTCCTAAAAAAACTTATGTTTCAAGATACAATTTTAGTTGAAAAAATTATAAGTAAATTTTCAATAGAAAGTCTAAATAAATTTATTATCACCTTGAGTTTTTCTCTCCAAGTAAGTAAGATTTAAATTTTAAAATTAAATTTTTTCCTACAGGTTCGTACAAATTTTAAAGATTGAAAGTTTTAGTCTGTCAAACAAGTCCAAAAATAAAAAAAGGCAATTTTAGCATTTCACATAAGATTGAATCTAGATATCTGCAATCCAGTCATTGATTTTAATGTTTCACTAAAATCCACTGTTTTGCTAAACTAGGGCGCCTGATATGCAACCCGCGATAAACAAAATGCGAATTTAATAGCACAAGCATAGCTCCAATTTGCGGAATTGGTTAAAATTGAAAATTAACCAAGGTTTTTGTTTAATTTTATCATAAATATTAAAAAAATTGCATAATGAATTTATTTTTTTTTTCAGTATAGAAAATTCTTATTTTTCAATAAGAATGTAGTAAAATGATGAGACACGATATAAAATTAATTTTCTGTAAATAGAAGCAAAATCATGTTCTACTCACCGCAAACCCAGGCGAGGATGACCCACTCAACAAAGGAGGGCGCGTCGCCCCTTTTGTTGGGCTCGTCTTTGGAGTCATCCGAGGAGTCGTCCGTGGACTTGTCCGCTGACTTGTTGAAGATTTCCTCACTACTGTCGCCGTTGAAAATTTCGCCGATCACATTCTCCATCCTCTGGGACGCAAGAATCAGCAGGACTGCAAACCGAGAGTGGAAATTAAATTACACTCGGAGATTGAATCATCGCATTGGAAAACGCACAAAGGAAGGTGAAGTAGGAGGCGGAATGGCAGATGAACTTGATGAAGGGCTTCCGCATGGTCTGTCCGACGGACGAGTGCGGCGCGACGATGTAAGCGACCGAGAAGAATGGGAAGAGGATGCCGATCCGCACGATTTCCAGCGCCTGCAGAACCATATTTTTGCGCCGGAAGCCCGGAAGACCCTCGTACCAAATGGACGCCAGCAGTTGCTGCACGTTCGGATGCGCTACAAACTGCCAGAGAACAAGTAGTGCAAAATTTAAATTTAATTGTAATATTTAAAAAAAAATAACAGAAGTGCTAATAAGGTTTGGATTAAGTTCGGAATAAGTTTTAAGATAATTTAATTTCCTGCTCCAATTTTCATCAATATATTATTCATGGTGTTAAAATTTTAATAGTTCGTAATATCTTGTCAATAAAAAATTGACAAAAATTGTACATTTGCAAGTCAGCTCAAAAGTTCTGTAAAGATTAAGAAATTTATTTACCAATCTCCATATTGAGTCAAACAGCAGCAGTAAGTCAATTAAAATATAATGTTGTGAATAATTCTCATCTTAAATAATAGTTTATACTGCTGATGCTGAAAAAATAAATTAAGTTTGTCTGAAGCTGCTCGTAAGATTGTTAAATGATTTTTTAATGTATTATATCTATATTATTCAAATTTTGTGTAAAAATATTTTTTGTGTTAAGAGTAAAAATAATAAAAACGATCAAAACTTCTTATTCTTGGCGCAAAATAAAAATCAAAACTGATTTTTTTACTGCCAATTTTGGTGACAGTTCAATATTCAATTGTGAGCTAGTTAGTTCAATGAATTATTTACACTCCACTCATTGCTGCATGAAAAAGTATATAAATTGTTGCGTGAGAAAAATTGTACTTTTGTAGGTTGCAAATTTAAGTAAAAAATTTTATAAACCCTAAAATCTCATCATAGTTTATTCCATTCATAATTACTGGCGTTATAACGTACTTTTAAATATGAGACTAAAAAAACGTCGTAAGGGAAATTTTTCCTTTTGTTCAATGTAATCATCTTCTGTAGGTATTGTATTTATATAAATAATATTTCAATAAAATTAATTTTATTTATTAATTATATAAATGAAAAGTCTATTGTTATGATGAAAACAAATTTAAAAAATTAAAAAAAATAATTATATATTTATTTTATTATTTAAATAAATTTATACGCACTAAATTGCATTATTTTTATTTACATTCTAAAAATGTTCTGATATAAAAATGATTTATTAAATTAATATTGTTAACATAAAAAGTTACAAACTACCTTTTAATATGAAATGTCGTCGTCCCCAGCCAAAACAACAACTTCTTAAAGAGAATAGTCGCAAAATTCGTGGCCAATGATTAAATTAGCTGCAACCCTTTTGTCGGCTCGTGTGCGGCTGGGGAGATAAATTATCCAATAATTCGGGATTACGTCTCGGGTGCACCCCCGTTCACTCGGAAACACCAAGATCGTAACAGGACGCCTTGGCACCGTTCCACACACACACTTGGGCATGTCCACGATTATATTCACACCCGAGCAATCTTATTGATGCACGGGGTGCGCGCCGGGGGGTCAACGAACCCCTTCTCGATCCCGGCCTAGAGCTGACGTCCCGTGCATTATGGAAATGAAAAGCTCGTGTCGCAAAACAAAAAGAGATCGAGAGCGCTCGCCCGGCGCTGAAAAATAATATCACTCAAATCTGGAGCAACGAAGGAAGTCGTTCGTCTGTGCAGCAACACAAAAGCGGCACCCCGGTGCTATTTCCCTCCCCTGCAAATGTGAGATAGAGATAAATGCACTTTCAAATGAGCATCTCTATCATCTTGGCGCCTATCCCTATGCAAGAGCAATGTTTAGTTCCTGCTGCATTACGAAAATGAAAAGCCACTGCAATTTTTTTAATGGTGGCTTCACATAGCTGACGAGAATGTTTTCCTTTCAGAAATCTGGAGGAAGTAATTTTTTAATCTCGGTCGGTTTACTTCTAAAGTACAAATATGACAAGCACCAGGCTTTTAAATTTAATAGACAATTTAACAATTCCTATGCTCTGATATACTTTGTTATTTTTTTTTTTTTTGTAGTTTAATATTTAAAAAAAAAATCTTCGATAAAATATATTTTTCAAAATATTCCCATTTTCATTATTTGCTCAAGAAAAATTCCTCTTAATAAATATATGTATTTAATTATTGTTGATTTTATTTTCTATAAAATATTAAATAAATTTAAAAGCAAACACAAAAATAAATTTTTGCAAATGTTTTTTTTTAACAGTAGCTAGGCTGCCTGCATATGATATGATTATTTATTTATAGCAGTCCTTAAAATTAATTATAAGGCACAATAAATCTTTTACATTTTAAAAGAGGTCAAATAATTAATTTTTTAGACAATTATTTTTTTCTTATTACACAGGAAAATCTCTGCAAGATACTTTGCAAGCAAAAAACCCCTTGTACAATAAGCGGAATCTGAAGGAGGTGCTGCTGGCTATGGGTGGCTATAAGAATAACGCAATTAACCGATATTGCTCGTTTCAAGAGGCCGCGCTTGTTTTTCCGCGCAATAAAATAACGCTCGCGTTAATCGTCTCGGCTATATTACGCCGCCCGGAGATAACGCGCTGCTGCTACACTGCATTTGCTGTTTTAGCAGTTTTCTTTTTAATTATCGAGAAGAATTAAGTGTTGAGCCGAGGTGCACACTCTCGACCTAGTGATTAGGGCGATCTAGCAACAGAGCAGCACGACGCGCCGTGCATAACAATCATGTATAAAAAAAAAAATACCTGCCGCTCTTCTCATTTCCATTATAACTGCTCAAGTTAAAATTACTTTATACAAAACAGACTGTTGATATTTTTAAAAATTGGGTCAAAAATAGGACTTTTTATTCTGAGATAGAAAAAAGGAAAAATGTAAAAAAAAAAAATAACAATGAATTGATGAAACTAGATGTTGTCTTTAAATTTAATCTATTATATTTTGAAAAAGAGGATATACTAGTTTTGAGGAGTTTTCTCTTAAAACAGATTCAAAGCCAGTGACTAAAACATTAAACAGAGTCATTTTACTACCTTTTTTATGAGATTTCAATAAAATTTTGGTCAAAATATGACTTTAGAAGTGATTAAAAATTATCTTTTTGTCGCATTATCCTAGGTGAAAGTAAAAAAAACATACATTTTATGATAAAATGCATTCCTCTTGCATTTTATACAAATTTTAACTCATTAAGATCAAAATTAGAAAATTGTATAAAAATATTCCCGATCGATTTTCAGCAATTTAATAAAAACGACCGTGTTCATGAAAGGAGCAGAGCGAGAAATTTATTCGTCAGTTTCCTCTTCCTCAACGTCACTCGTGCCAGACGCGTCAAGTTGCTGATCGACACTCGTTTCGAGATCTTCGGTTACTTCTGAACCACCTGAGCCCACTTTTTCCTCCTCGAACGGAATATTTTCCTCGTCCTCCAAAGCAAAATCATCTCCGAACGTTTCACTCTCAAAAATGGCATTGTCCTGATTTCAATTAAATTAAAAATAAAATTATTTTGATTTTGGAACCAACCAGGTCCTCGATTTCCTCCCGGGCCGTCGACTGCCTCTGCACTTGAATGTCCCTCTCGAAGGCCAAATAGCTCAAATCCTGGCCAATTTCTTCTTCGTCGGGTTCTTCGAGGGAATCTTCAGAGGACTGCAGGAGGAGCGAAAAGTCTGGACTCGAGTCTTCGGAGTTGTTTTTGTTTCTGAACCTTTCTCGCAGGGCGTTTGCCTGGACCCAGGATGGTTGGCTCAGTCGTTCCCACCACGACGACGGGTTTTCGTAACTCTTGCTCTTGTCGTTGATTTCTGGCCGGAAGGAGGGAGGCGCGGACACCACTGGAAGCTTCCGAGCCGGACGGTGGGCCAAGTTTTTCAAATATCTTTTCGAAATAGATATTTTTAGTTCCTTTATTATACTTAAGGGTGCGGAAAGTATCAAATATTTAAATGATTTTATTGAATATATATCAAAGGACGAAAATTAATGGATTTATTTCAATTTTTATTTTTTTTTCTAATAATCCTTAAAATATATCTCTAAAATTTGAAACTTTTATTTTAAAAGGTTTGAAATTCAAGTAGTTTGGCACCTCCTGTTATTCAGTTCGTCCTCGCGCGTGCGATAGCCAGGGCTGCTCTGATTTGGCTGCACCCTGTCGTTGCGGTACCGCTCGGGAATGTAGTGGAGCCGATTCCACCAGTCTGTCTCGTGGCACAGACTCATGTTGGTCCATTTCTTGTTCACCTGCGAGCCGATCGTCAGCAAGTTCTGTCCCGTTTCCGGGTGTTTGGACAGCGACAGGTGCAGGTCCACCTTTTCAGGTTCCTTCTGCTTCTGCGTCGGCTGGTGAAGAGAGGCGTCTCGGGGCACCACAAGTCGCACTCGCAGGTCGTTTACTTGGTCGCCGCTTTTGCTCATTCCGCAGAGAAAATTTCGATTTCGAGAAAGGGAAAGTCGGAAGCGATTTTGAAACCAAAGAATTGAATTTGAGCAACAATAGGTTTAAAATTGCCAGTTTGTCATATAATAGCAACAATGGGAAGATTTTGAATCATATTTTATTGTTGCTGATTTTTCAGAACCGTTTTCTTTTGTAAAAATTACATTTTTTTATAAATCTTCAACCACAAAAATTTAATTAAACAGAAAAAAATAACACATTGCAAGTCACTTATGTAATTATTGTCATTAAGCATGATATAAATTGATAAAATTTATACATAAGTGACTTAGTGTATCGGATTTCACATTATTGAATTGTCTTAATTACAGTTTGACATAAAACAATTTTTTTAGCGCACCTTGCCAAACTTTTATAATTTATGTTGGGACAGAATGTTAAAAAAATATTTATTATTTTTATCATTCAATGCTTGAACCCGTTTTTAAATTAAAATATTTATTATAATATTTAATTTTTAACTTTTAATCCTATTAATAATTATTTATTTTATAGAAAAATGGAATTATAAAATTTAGGTCTTTATTGAAACGTTTAAACAAAGTGAATTTAAAAAAATGCAACAATTTCATGCTACATCTAACAACTTGATAAAAACTTCCAACGTGAGAGAGTTTGGTAATAAATATGATTGTAAAAGTACTCATATATTTGCTGTTTAAAATTTAAATTACTAGAACACAACTATGCTAGTAAAATTAAAATTGAATCCTACCTTTTTCTGTCTCAACTTGACTGCTAGCTTAAGCCTATTGAGGTGCATTCGCTCGCCATGCTCGAATGCTGGTCCTGTTGGGTCGTGATTTAATAAAACCTGCAACAAGAATTGCCAGAGACAATGTCAATTTCCTTTGTAACACAATCCAGCAGTTATGGACGCACTTCTAGCTCGTAAGATGATCTGGTGTGGTCTAGGAGGGCAGTCGCAAAATCTTGGCACTGTTTTCGCAGCTCCTGAAACAAACAACCAGGCCGAGAGTTTTAATTCAATTCGTCAATCACCTAGAATGATTTGTGTCGTTCCATAATTAGTTCTCTGTAAATTGGAATTTATGTGGGTATTTAACATTTCTATAAAACTTAGTTGGGAAATGCGAGAATGTGCAAGAAAAAAAATATTTAAATTTGAACAAATATATAATCATTTCAAAAGATTAATGAGGTCTTATTTTAGACTCAAAATAGTTTTTTAAAGGATTTTCAATAAGTTTTGGATACCATTTTCTTCACTTTTCTTAATTATGATATTATTTCTGTTCATATAATTTATAATTGAATACATAACGCCAGTTAAAAAACGTTCTTAAGAAGTCTATTTTCCACAAAATTCAGGGTACAATGAATCAATAAAATTATTGAAACAAACTAATTTTTTAAGTCTAAGTCTTGCCCACAACAATTAAAACCTTTTCAATTAAAAAAAGAGCACAATTTCTTACCTGGTACTCGCACTTGAACTCGTGCTCCAGGAAGCTGAGTCTTCGGAGCTCCCACGAGAGCTCAAAGGCCGTGAGAATGGGGTCTTTGCTGGAGAGGGCGATCAGGGACGGACTGGCCAGGGCGCGGTAGGCGTTGATTCTTGAGCGAGAGTGGCGCAGCGAGTCTTCCTGGCGAGAAGTGACGCACTCGTCGCACCCGCACCTGCACCAAAGAAAGAGAAAAATGGCGCCGCGTATACATCAAGCAAGAGTCGCCAAAGTAGTAAAAAAGGAGATAAAATTTGGGGTGCATGTCGCCGATGGCTGCCGGCTCAATTTTATTGGGGTGATACGTCGCATTGCAAAGTTCTGCTCTTTCTGGCCGACACACGATTCTCTCTCAAACGAAACATGCTTTGCGAGGCCTGCTTTTTGTTACACACTGTTTATCGCTCTCCTTTTTTTTCAGGCGTGTGTGGCTGCGAGCGGCTCGCGAAACACCGACATTTTTTTGATTAGCCATTCCCTTTGCCTCTCGGCGAATTTCCAGCCCTTCCTCGTGCGAGCGCCACTCCATACTTTATGTGATGAAATTTTACTTTGTCAAGTCGAATCCGCTGAATCGACAGAGCGTTTTTAAGGCGTCAAGCAATTCCGCTTTGAAATTTACGTTTAAAGTAATTTTATTTATTAATTTCTTCATTTCAAATTTCTTTACAAATAGTGGGAAATTTATATTGATAGAACAGGGAAATAAAAAGTTTTGTTAATAAAACAAATACAATCAAGTGATAACTATAATAACTTTCGTAATAATTAAAAATAATCTCCGATATGTAAAATTTGCAATGATCTGGGAGAGGTTTTTTTTTGTACTTTTCAGTTTTCGTCTTCCTGAATATAGGGCTATTTTTTTATTATGAAATTTTCAGATATTTTGATAAGATAGATCAGAACAATCTAGAACTGTTGGTGGTGAACATTATAATATATATCATTGCAGTAGAAATTATGAATTCACTGACAAGGACGACAATCACCAGGCCACACTCCATCCATACAGATTTATCTTTTCATGACAATATGGGCTTGCACCGCGCTTAATATTTATTAATGTATAAAAAAGTTTGTTTTAATTAAATTAAAAAAACAGGCTCATAAACTTTGGCTACATTTCATCAGAAAAAAAGTATATATATGAAGTAAAATAATGATATAAACATAAAAATTATATTTATACCATAAAGTCAAATATATTTTGTTGGTAAGTAAAAATAGCCAATAAATAATTTACATTTAAAACAATAGTATACTTTAAAATAACTAAATATTAATCCTATTTTTGCATCAATAATTTTTTTACAACCTTTTAAAATTAAAGCTGAATAATTTTTTTGTTTTAAATGACGTTTTGATGATTTTGACTTTTGCTCAATAATACTGTAGAGTCGGTAGAATATAACTAATTAAAATTTGACTTCATATTATTATTAAAAATTTATGTTTTTGGTTGGGAAATTTAATATCACGACTCAATTTCTTCTTCTATCCCAGATAGATCATCCAAAGACATGAAACGAGGAGAATCGCCACGAAGTAAACAACATAGAAGAGCACCAAGATTTTCGTCGTGTGCTCTTTGATGATGTCATTCGTCTTTTCTTCTGCATCCTTGGCAGCCGCGGATGAGGTTTGATTCTGCGAGGCCAGAGTTTCATTTTGGGCGTCCGTCGGCACCTCAGTTGAAGTCGCGTTTTCTTGCTCGAAAAACATGAAGTCATAGACTAGGTCTGGTTGCTCCAGTGGACATTGGCCACCTCCGACAAAAGGGAGGGTTGCTTTGCAGGAACCAGTCAAGGTGGAAGATTCGTTTTTAAGGGCGCCGGCGGTTTGAAGTTGAAGGGCGCAGAACGCGAGGAAAACGACGAGAAGAGAATTCATGACTACTTAAAAATTTTCAAACGCCGAACAACAATAGACTTTTATCCAATAATGCATGAATCTTTTTCAAGAATAGGAAAATTTCAAATTATTCCATTGAAAAACAAGGAAAACATAATTTTTCCAAGTTTCCAAACAAATAAACACAAATGTCCGGAAAAAATTAATTTTAAATGTATGAAACTTTTTATCCTCATTTAGATTTATCTTAATTGGCTTACAAAATATAAAATAGCATTACTTTGAGACGCGATTCATTGCCGATTTTGTGAAATTTTAGATTATTAATTTGTGTTTCTTAAAAATATGATATCATTAAAACAAATCAAATGAATTTGAAAGAAAAGTTAAATAATTTATGTTGCGTGTGCGATAAAAAAAATTATTCATTTTAATTAACCGTTATTGGGATCTTTTCTAATGGAAAATCAGAGCAAAAAAATAATGCGCAGTAAAAATAAAATCTAAAAGAAAAGGTTTCGTTGTTGTAAAATTTTGCTGAATAAGCTCTTTTTTGGTACTCTTTGTTTGCGAAAGACCGTAATATCAATAATAAGGTTTACATATTTATTAACTGAAATTCTAACCAAAAAATAATATTTTTGTAACAAAAAGTGTTTATAATAAATTGCCTTGCCTTTATAAAAATAAAATAATATCTTTAAACAAACAAAAAATGGGGCTTCGTAGCAAAAATGAATGTAAATAAAAATAAGCTTCAAAGAACCGGCAGCGGTCGATACGGTGTTGGAAAAATCCGCAGGGAAAAGCGTGGAGGAGAGGATTTTTGCATAATATCGGACTGAATAATTAAAAGAGAGAAACGCTTCATATTGAAATCATGGCGCTCGCAAGGGAGTAGCGGAAAACGGTGTCTAATAAAACGAAACAACCCTTTCGTCTGGGCATGTGGGAGAAAGGGTGGTGTGTCGTCGACACACGCCGAGCACACATAAAAGTGCGTGATACGATTACTGGAGCGGAACAAACAGGCATTACACTCTCGTTAACGACCAATCATTTTGAGCAATTGCTTTTTAAAAGCAGCTCAAATGGCGAGTCGGCGCCAAGGTGGAAAGAATTCATATTTTTTTTTTTTTTTTTACCTCACGTCGTGGGGCATAGGCAAAGTGGCGCCCCTGTCCAGAAGGATTTTGATGATCTCGTAGTTGTCCCTGTGGGCTGCGAGGATCAACGGAGTGATGTCAGGGGTGAAAGTGGCAGTGTCAGGGGGCAGCGCTTCCCAACTCTGAAACAAACCCGCCGAGAATTTTTTGGTGAGAAAACTTTCCGACTTGTTGCAAGAAATAGAGACAGAGAGGTCGAAAACAGCAAAGATTTTGGTGACAATTTTTTCCTTTTTCATAACTTGAGAGAAATCAGTGATCACGATCATCCACATGTAACAAAAGTGCTAATTTCATGTATTCACGTTTGATTGATTTTATTTTTGTATTATTTTATTTCACTCTAAAATATTTTGATTTTTACTTATTCAGGCTGATGAGATCCACATTGTCATTGCATTACAAATAATTTAAAGATTAAGGTTGGAAATTGAAAAATATATTGAGAATCTAAGATTGCTTAATAATTCAGACGCTTTATCATACCTTTTTAATTATAAAATAATAATTCAAATTTTTGGACAAAATTTAAAGGTTTATTATTGGAAGTCCGCTTTTCCTCAGTATTTTTTTGTCTTAGAAGAATAAAATATAAGAAGAAAAGACTTTTTCAATGAAACGATGAAATGTGGCTCAAAAACCAAATGTTTCTTTTTAATTTATTTAAATATTGGAAAAAAAATAATAAATAAAACTTTGTATCATTATCAGGATCTTTAATTTTTCCAATTCTTTCGAATAAAGAAACATTTAACATATTTATTCATGAGTTAAAAGCTTTAAAAAAAGATGCCTTGAAAGATACTCAACCATGCGAGAAAAACCAGATCACGAATTTTTCCACAGTTATTTTCTGCTCTCGAACGTGATAAACTCTTGCAACTGTGACTGAGAGTGCAAGTATCAAACTGGGTCGTTGTTCAAGTTCTCAATGTTAAATGTTTCAAGTCGCGTCTTGCTTGTCACATTGCAGAACACGCGTGAGTTTGCTTGAATAATTCATGCATGCACGCTTCGCCCTGCGCCACCCTCTTCGAGCGTTATATGCAACCAAGTTGTAATCAAAGACTTGAGAAGTTTGCGTTGGTTTAATTAAACCTCGAGTGTGTGTTTACCACCATGAAAATGTTGATAAACAACGGGCCGAAATAATAGATTTGCCGCTCGGCACGACTCACGGGCGAAAAGTTAGGAAATTATTTATTCATGAATATCCAAACCACTGCACGCTGCTTGCATTTTTAGCTTTCCGCAACTTTTGGGAGCAAAAATTTCCTGTTAACTCGTAAATGAGAAAAGTTCTAAAAATATACAGACTCATCGCCATTGAGTTTTTAAGATATAAAAATTAATTATCAAAGGAGGAAAGCTGGTTTGTTTTAATTGAAAGTCTAATTTTTCGTGAAAATTTTCATTGTTTTTAATTATAATAACTCATAATATATTAAATAATTGAACATTTAAAAAAATAGAAACCAGGTTTTTCCCTTTTGCATACAAATAAATCTCAGCTAAAAGTTTATTAATTTTAATTATATATTGAATTATTATTTTTGACTAATATCTAGATTCCATAATATTTGTTACAAGTACTGATCATGCAAAAATTACATAAAAAAAAAACATGGTCAGGTGTTTAAATTAGGTGATTATGTTGTTGTGCTGCTCACCTGATGGTGTTGGGGCTGCTTACAGACGTCCTGGTGAGGGGTGAGAGTAATGGAGAGGTCACCACACAGTGGTAAAGAGGTCAGTGTGTGACAACATTGAAACAGGCAGGGCATTCCAGGGATGATGAGAGGGTTTGAAAACAGTCAAATAAATAAAATTTTATATGATCAGAGCATGCCAATTATCCGAGATGGAGGATCATCTCTTTGGTTAGTCACTTTAAAAACCAAAAGAAGAGAAACACCAGCGCAGTTAGTGACGCGTCTGCAAATTTCATTATTCCATAATTCTGCTCGGGATACTTTCCTCCATCTCTCTAGATTCGCAGGCTCGTCAAGTTATGACAGGTCTATCAAAATGCAAAGAGGAAAAGGCTCAGACCGGGAGCTTTTTTCAAACTCCACCGCCGGCGCCTCTCCGAAAAATGATATCTTTCAAGGGCGTTAATGACGGAAAAAAATATCAAATGTATCAAATTTGGCATGGGTGACAAATATTAAAAAATAAAACCCTCTAATTTTTAAACTTTGGTTTAAAATAAAATAAAACAACGTGCTTTTTAGTTTTATGTTACGGAAAAATCAGCCAATTTAACAAATAAAATTAAATTAGCCCATACGAAATTCATGATCGTAATTGGACAGAAAATTAATATAGAAAATTAAAGGCGAAGTTTTTACGAACTGGGAATTGACCCAGATTACTCGCTATTGATGAGCAGACATACGAAAACTGATCTGTCTGGGAGTGTATGTTGTTGATACAGTTAATGCACATATTCGACTCACGTGGGGCTCTCCTGGGGTGTGTCTGGTGGCCTCGTGGTCCAGCAAAACCTCCACAGCCTCGACGAACTCTTCCGAAATGGCGTGTAGAAGGGCATCTTTGGTGTCGCACTTTTGGTCGAGCAGCAACTCGACCATCTCCAGGTTCTCGTTGTCGATCGCCATCAGAAGGGCCGACCTGCCCAAAGGGTCGACGCAGTTCACGTTGATGTACCCCGTGTCCGTCGCCTTTTGAAGCATTCTATTCAGGGAAATATCACATTAAAATTGTTTTAATCAATAATATTTCAAAATATGAAATGAAAAATTTAAAAAAAATATATAATTTATTCTACAATAATTACAGGTTGTGAGATAAAAGTTTAAAATCCATCTAGAAAGAAGTTTTCAGGACGCTTTTATTAATCTGAAAGTGTCTTGATAATTAGAATTAAGAAAAAAGTCACTTATAGCTTGATGAGAGCAATGGACTTTAAAAGCTTTTAGAAAGCATTATTAACAGACTGAATTTTAAAATTCACTTGAAAAACGTAAAAATTTCACTAATTGAATTTTCAGATTTAAAAAATAATAATGTAACTTTCAATATTAACGTGTTTTGGTACATTTGTGCTTTTTCCTCTGGATTGTGGGAATCGTGCCCGTGAAAAATGGTGTCCGAAATTTCCTGTGTGAAGCAAAACAGATTTTGCTTCGCCTCACACGCAATTTATCAGACCAAATTGAGTTGCCGGGCGGTGCAAGCCGGACAGAATGCAATTTGGAATTTATCATAGACCCCAAATTAATTGTCTGTGCGTTTTTTTCCCACGTTTGGTGAAAGCCTTTGAATTTATCCGTTTGCCCTACCAGCGTTTTTACGCCCCGGCAGCTCTGCGTGTGCACAAAGACGCGAAATTTCATTTGCAACGAAGCGAGCGGATTTAATTTTTGGCTTAATTTGCATGTCACCGAGATCTGCCTAAAGCAGCTGAATCCCGTTTGCATTTGTTTGAGTGCGTTCAAAACAATTATTGTTCTCTCCGTTGGAACGCGCGCGCCCCTCCAGCAACCAAATTGAATTTCGCAGCAACGTTGCACTCTGCTTATAACGATCTCAACACAGAAAATTCAATAATTAAAATTGAAACAAGAATCTCAAAAGCTTAAAACGGGCTTTTCCTTGCTATGGAAAAGTGTTATTCAAGGCAAAACTATAATTATGAATGGTTAAGTTTTTAATTTTAACATTTCCGTAGACAAAGAAAATCTCTTGAATGTCTCTTCGCGTGCCCTTTTTGCTTCTCTTTAATAATAATAAGATGATGAAAAAATTGAATTTATACCGTTCTTTCGGAATTTTTGAAACTTCATGATTAAAATATTTCAGTTTATCGATGAAAGCTCGAATAAAAAAATACATGTAACCATTGAATGAATTTAATTAAATATCATTGGTTTAAAATTTATATTACATAACTTAAAATTAATTTAGTAAATATTTATGCAATGTTAATACAAACTTCATTAAATCCATATGTTGCAACAAATAACTTGTAATATGATTTATAAAATATAATATGAAAAATATAAAAATTTATGTAATTTTTACTTGTAAAAAATGATAATTTTAATTCTAAATTTGTATATTGTCTACAATTTTTTTCTTCTTTTTTAAAAATTAAACTGACTACTCTTTGAAATTCTCATTAACATATCTCATAATGGGCAGTGATTGATTGCATCTGTGATAAAATGTAAATAATATTTAGCAGAATTAAATTTGGAGATAATTAGAGAAGATGAAAATACAAATAACATATTGTATCAAATTAAATGTTGCATAAAGTGCACTAACTTCAAAATTACGCAACCCTTCAAACGAATTTACTGAAGTAAAAAAGACCTCGCCTTGCTGAATTATTTTTAATGAGTTTACTGCGCAGCGAAAACTCTTCGTTTCCGCCGGTCGGGCAAAAAGCATTGCTCACACCTTTCGGTCGATGTGAAAAGCAGTAAAACGTGAACGGGAAAGCAAAGATTTGTCGTGCTCCCTTTCATACGTACCGCCTGGTGGAGGCGACGTCACCCCTTTCCACAGCCAGCAGGAATTTCTTTTCATCCAGCGACAACTGGGCTATTTCTTGATGAGGTCGCACCACATTTTCCTCCTCCATCATGCCGTGAATGCTGTGTCTCTGTCAAAACATACACACTGTCCAATTAAAACATGTCTGCAGACACCGTGTGCCTAATGACTTGGGCAAATACACTTCTTCTGCCATCATCAAGGAGGGCCTTTGCCCTTTTTTGCACAGCTCATCTTGTAACGAGCGTTTCCCGAGAACTCGCACACCCAACCCACAAAAGAACGAGAGAGACGCTTCTCAGAAATTGCAATTTCTCCTACTGTCAACTGGCCTCTTTTCCTTTCAATTTGATTATTAAAAATTAAAAACCACACAGGTTTTTTTTCAATACCAAAAATATTAAAAAAAAAAATCATAATTAACATCGAAATAGTAAAGCAAAGTTGCACTATAAATTTTTAACTTTACCCCTTGAAATGAATTTGAACTCCTAGAGAAATATTTGTTATTTTATGTTATATCTGGAAATCTGAATTTAATTATCTTCCAATAGCTCAATAATACTTTTGACGGCCAGAAAAGTAGAAAAAGGTATAATTAAAGCTTAAAGATGCTAATTTTTCCATCGCGATTGTGACTTAAGTCGTGAAGTTTCATTCATTAGAATAAATAATTTACTTGCATGGGCTTCTAAAACAAAAAGTTTACAATCTGCTTTTGCCGCAAAATGAATCCTAATTGCTCTTTAGCGATGTCGCATTTAAGTCGCGCGCCTATAATGAGCTTCAACTCTCTGACGTCTTCCGGTAATTACGTCTGGGATAATTATATTTCTTGCGCGGCTACGAGAAAAGTCACAATCGTCATATTTTTTCACAAAACGGTCGGCGAAGGAAAGGAAGATTAGTTCCAGCCGTCGTCAATGTGTATTCTCTCCCCTTTCGCAACAGATATTGGCCACATCTCTCTTTTTCTCAATCACCACAAAAGAGATTTCATCTCGATTTAATACCGACCAACCGTTTTTTTTTTTATTACGAGGCACGACATGCATATTGCAGAAGCTATTGATTTTCATTCCGGTCAAAGACGTATTATGTGAAAATCTACTCCTTCAAGAAAGTTTTAATAATCTCTGTTTGCATTTCATTATGCGCAAAGAGGAGCAGGCGCAACCTGCTTGAGCTTTCTAGGGAGACGAAATGAGCTTGAGTTTTAGGTAATAATCTGCTCGTAAGAATCTTGTTTATTTTGCTTTGATACGAGTGGAGACGTTGAAGGGAGATTCGCCGAAACGAATTACGTCGTAACAGAATAAAGAGATAAATTAATTAATTCATAAAATATATAAAAAGCCTAAAGTCTTAATTCATTTTAAATCAGACAAATGACACAATTAACTAAGATCCGTTGCTAGAACAAATTTTATAGCCAATTTAAAAAAAATCACTCGTATAAAATATTTTAAATATTTGAACTTATTTAAAAAAAAGCATTTAATAAGAGAGAGAAACATTGAATGCATTTAAGTAAATTTTCAAATATTGATTTAAAATGTGAAATAATTGCTGAAGATTTTAGTTGCACAAAAGTATTTTACGCATCTCCCTTTAATATCTCCCGGAGGAATCCAGAAACTTTGCTTTAGAACGGTCGAGTGGCGATGTTGGGCAACAAAGGGAAGAGAAAAGCAGGTCTCGCTGAAAGGCCGAGGGACTTAGCAAGCTGATCCTCTGGGTGCATTCCCAGGACAGGACTTGAATGCTCTGCGCTTAAATCCCGCACACATCCTTTATTTGGCTTAATTGCAATTTAATTGACAGGGGAGTAAATCCCGTGCATCCTTCATAAAATAAAGTTCATCCCAGCAGCTCTCCTGGGTACTCAAGGATATCGTTTAATAAAAATGTAAATCGTCCTTTCCACCATTGCAATTTCGTTAATTTCACTTTCCGTTTTTCTACGGCAAAAATATTTTTACTTTTTTATCTCTCTTCTTAAAATACAATTACCGTCAAACTCATTGTTCGGTCGTTTCGTGCTAATTAGTTTCTTTTCGTTTTACGACAGCTTCGTAATAAAATTTTGTGCGTCAGAGTGAATTAAATTTGCATTGTTTTACACGCGCGCGTAAAGAAATTTGCGCCTCTCCTAGAGAGAGAGAAGGTTGTTAAAAAGTAACAAAGAAAAAACAGCCTTTTTTTCTGGAGACTGTAAACCGCACATAAACATTGACGCGTTTCGCAGCTCAATCAGTTCGACGTGGACGTGAACGAATTTCAAAGAAGCTCAGAGGGCAGCGCCGTGATTGGCAGTTAAATTAATTACGGACACTTTTAAAAAGCAATCAACGCTAATTGGCACTCGCAATTTTCTCATTGCCAGTTCACATCATCATAATTGATCGCGTGATTAATCGCAGTCCCCATTAAATTTCGCATCTTCCGTGTGTAGCCCCATGAAGCATAATCGTGCATGTGTCGATCCGTTTAATTGGAGTTTGAGAGACGCGAGCGTCGAGGCGAAAGACTACTCGATTATTCTGCATCGCATTATTAATTTCTCCTCTATGGAGAGGTGAATTAATTACATTAGTTTCGTTGCATCCGGCGACCGATCAATTACAACTTCTTGGGCGCGCACGTGAGCACCAACAAAGAAAACGCAAATCAGTTAAAGGTTTTCATTCTAATGAATCAAGTTTTTTCCTTGTTCAGACGCGCAAAAAAGTTAAATGCTTTTGTTGAAATTTATATTTTTGTTAAAGTTGCATTTGAGTAAAAAAAAACATGTTTTTTTTACAATTTATGATATATTTTTAATCCAATTATAATAGTTATGTAATATAATTATGTAAATTGAATTTTATTACTTTTCAATTTTTTTTAAAATTTAATTTTCCCTTTGTATGTGGTCTACTGAATTTATTTTCAGGCAAATTTTACGTTCAATTGATATTTGGTTCTAAATTTTTAGATATCAATTTTGAGCTTTTTCCTGGATGCTGGGCTTCAATAATTTGGCTGGTGTAATTAGAGGAAGAAAAATCCACAAATCTTTTAAGAGAGACCAGTCGATTTCCAAAGTCTATTTCAATAATTAATAAAAGGAATAATTGAATTTAAAAATAAATTTTTCTTCTACTAAATATATTTTGCGGAGAAAGACTCAAGTGGCCTGATTATTCTGATGAATATAATAAAAAGATTAAAGTTACAATAAATGAGTATCTGAAACATGTGAACGCACCTTCACTCTCTTGTCGAAAGGTATTGGTGCTAAAGTGCTGCCTTCAAGCTGCGGAGGCCGGTATTGGGCATAGGCCGGAGGCGGAGGAGCCGCCTCCACGTCCTCGTCCAACGACTCCATCTCGTCGTCCTCCTCTTCTACTGCTTCCTCTTTGCAATCTAAAACAACAGAAAACAAATTTTAATTTAAATAATTTTTCCTTTCAGATGTAAAATATTTTCGTTGATTTTCCTTCAATAAAGCTTTATTACTATTGTGACAGTTTGTAATTGAAACCTCAAAGATTTTTTGTAATTGTTTTGATTTAAACATCCCTTTTTTAAGAAAAATTCACCAGGCTTGGTGTTTGGAAGGATTTTTAGATGTATTAGTTTAGTTTTTTTAGGTTAACCACTGCAGTTTTTAATTAATCGTGTAGCAATTTTGAAAGGGTCTCGTTGTATGCGAAGAGTGAAAGTTCAGCTGCACAAGCTGGAAACTTGCCCTCAGATTTTTGTGTTTTTAAGCTCTTTGGGTGTGCGTAGTGGGCAGTGGAGCAAAGGCATGCAAATGTTCTGCGAGAGCCGCCGCCTCCGGGGCATTTCTCGCTCTCTCGAGCTGCTGCAAAAGAGCACCCCTGCGAGAATAATATATTTATTTTCGACGGAAGGACTCTGAAAGCACGCATTTTCATTCCGGGTGCACTCTTTCATTTGTGACACACGCGCGTGCAATCAATTTGGCCCGCGGCACTTTTCCCACGCTCCGCGCGTTATTATATTATGCGCTGTATTTTACGGGCGTGTGTGCGGTTTGAAGGCAGAGATGCAGCTCGGATCGATATTTCCTAGTAAGCTCCAGATTCTACCCGCGCATAGACGACGACATTATGTGCTCAGTATAAAATTCTTTCGCGGGAAAAAAATTACCCGTTGACCTATTCTGCACGGTGTGCACGTGTGCCATATTGATTCCTCGTCCGTTTGACACACTGTCAAAGTCGAGACAGAATTGCGACACACAAACCTCCATCACTGCTATACGGAAAAAGCAAAAATAATTGGCTGGAGTTAAAAAAAAAAAGTATTAATTTGCAGCGCGTTGCTATGGGCATAGTGGATGATGTCATTTATTTAGAACTGATATTACTTAAATTGATTGTGTACGGAAATATAATTTTATTTTGCAGAATTTTACCTTTAGATTCGACCATATGGTTAGAAACAAAATTTATTAATGAAAATTTTCTTATTTGAAAACCCAAGCAAAAAATTTAAAGAAAAATTGATTTTCTTAAGGTAATATTCTGAAAAATTTAGAAAAAAAAATTGAAATGCTAACTGTACAAACAGAAGATTTATAAGAATCTCAGATAAATTACGTTCTTCTAGGACCGTTTCTGTTAGGCCCACAAACAAAAGAAACGTGATTTCATTGTTGCATTGATGCATCGGTCATCATATATTTTTATATATAATTACTAAGTGCCGTGGATCTGGTCTTTCTGATAACAGGATTTAATGTTAGAAATCTGGTCGCGCTCGTCACCATTCACCACTACCACCGGAAACCTAAGGGTTTGGCTTTGTTATTTCTGCTCCCGACCGACGCTATCTCAAATTTTGCAAAAGAAAACCACTTCCATTCCTTTTGATAAGCTTAGCATTTATTGCAATAATCACGCACAAAACAAAGTACTTAAATGAAAATCAAACAGCGAGAGGGGGTTTTAAATTATCTATTACTCGCGATGAAAGTAGCATAGATTTTCTTAGTGCTTCACGGGCAGAAACCACGTTAATAGTTAAGAATATTTTAAACCTCAGTTGTAAGAACAGAAATCTAACATAATTTTCTATATTAAATTAAATTCATCATATCGCATTTTCTCTCTTGCTTCTTTTTTGTGAGTGTTATTCAAGCAGTGCAGCAGCATGTCATTGTTTTACAAGCACATTCTTATTTTATTTTAATCAGCATGAGCAGTGAATAATTCTCTAAATTCTCAAAGATGAGTGTTATGAATATAGTATCAACATCAATTCTTGCCTTTATCGTTATTGCTATTGTTTTTGGCAATGTCATGACCATTCTGGCTGTAGCTAGAACTCCTCAATTGCAGACAATATCAAATCAATTCATTTTGGGACTTGCAGCGGCCGACTTATTGGTAAAATTAATTTTATATTATTCTCTGACAACTTATTTCAAATTTACTATTAAAATTTCTCCCCTTTAGATTGCATTTGCTTTACCGTACAATGCGGCCATGGTTTATTACGGAAAAGGACCCAGGGGTGGCGATTATTCTGAATTTTTGATCCAGTGTGTTTCACCTCTAATACCAGCCTTAATGTCTGGAATCGCGACAAATATTCACTTACTCTTGATTTTCATGGACCGTTTCTTTGCGTTAATCAACCCTCTCAAACGCCGCAAATTTATGACTAAAAAGTAAGTAATAAAATTAAAAATATTACATCTTGTTGAAAAAAAATAATTAATATACAATATCAATTATAGAAAAGCTCGAATCGCCATTGGCTTTGTATTCCTCTACGCAACATTTATAGCGTTTATAATGATACTTTGGAACAGAAACCCATTTTGGGCCTATGACCCCCATTACTATATTAGATTATGTGTGAGTATCAAATGCCATTTTTGAGCAATCATTTCATGCAAAATATTATTATTTGTGGTCAATGTATAATTATTCTAATTACTCATTTTTAGGATTTCCATGCAATGGACTTCAATTACTTCCTTTTCTTCTTTTTCATACCATTCATAGCTTTGGAAGTTGTATTCTTTGTTGGCTATGGAAAAGTATTTTTCATTGCCTGGTCGAAGTCAACCACCATTTACAAGCCACTGAAGGTACGAAAATAGATTTTATACACATTAATTATACTAATTCGCATTACATTTTTAGACGGTTTTCTTGATATTGGGTTGCTATAGCGTTTTCTGGATTCCATTAATGATCAACATGTTTCGGGAGCTATATGTTGTCCATAACGCTTCTAACAAAGCGGATCTCATTAAGTATTTCAGATCAAAACATAATTTTGGAGATATTGCCTTCCTACTGATGTGCTGCAATTCGTTTATGAATCCAATAATTTACGCGTGTCAATCTACTCACTTTCGAGAAGCCTTTAAACGGATTCTTTTTTGTCGGAAAAATGTGGCTCAATTTCACCTAACAAACATAAGAAGTCATCAAACTCCAAACGTTCATGTTATTCCAGTGTCGGAGGCCGAAATTTCGTCCGAAAAATCATAAAAATCATAAAAAAAAGTTTAAAACATTCCTTTCCATTTATTTAATAAAACACAATATTAATTTTTCTCACCTTTTTAAATATTCACGCATGTTCTGTATCAGAAAGTTTTTATGACAGTTTCAATTAAGATTGCTAAAGTATTCAAAACTAGAGCAACCTGAATTTAATTCATTTAAACATTATTTTCTTTGACGTGACCTCATCTTTTCTAAGAAAGTTTAGAATTATTGCAAATTATTGGGTCTATTTTAAATTTTATATTAATAATTAAAAAATAAATTGTTACCAATTACAATTTACACAAACTAGATATACACAAATATTTTACATAGTTAAAAATTTAAATTGTACAATTTGCAAAGTTTTTTCCCATGAATACATTATAGTGAATTTAAATTATAAATTAATAAGCGTATTTTTATTGTTTAATTATATTTAGTAATTTTAAAAATATTTATCATATTTTTAAATAAAAATTTCATTTTGATTCCTTAACAAGTATTTTTTTTGCATTCCATATGAAATAAAGTTTACATGGGAGTGTTTTAACATAGAAATGTAATACATATAGATGTCAAAATGATTAGTTTAGTCTTTTTGGTTCACAGTGCATTGAATAATATACGAATGTGATGGTAAAAATATGGAAATAAATGAAATTCTGTATTTGTATAAATTGAAAGAGAAAAATGCCTTTTTCTGATTAGTTCAATTAGTTCCACAGCATGTGAATCAATCTGTAAGGGATTTTTATGTAAATAACTTTTAACAAAAGATGCATATGGAAACGATTTAAATCAAATAACTTTTTTACTATGCAATTCCAGAAATCAAAATTTATTTTGACTTTTTGACTCTCCAAGTCTCATTTCGAGCTAGAAACAGAAATGGACTTCCCGCCGCTCCAGTATTGGCAAAATGGTCAACGTGCACCGAGTCAATATTTTCTCTGGTAATTCAATTACTCGTCTCTCACAGAGTCAGAAATAATTCGTGCGCCGCGCGGCAGAAAGAGAGCAAACGCAGCTGAAAGAAGAAGGGCACTTGTTTTTTTGCGGCAGATTGTGTCAACATTAACTAACTAAGCATATCTGCCGGCGCGCACGCGAGTGGCAGCGGAAAAAAGAAAAGGAGAGGAAGACGAACTGCTTCTCTCTTGCAAGTCTGGTGTGCCCCATAAAAGGTCAAGTGAGCTAGGAGCAAAAAGGCGGCTACAGATGATAGCGAGAGATTCCGCCGTGGAATAAGCAGAAAAAATGAGCAAAGAAAGAGCACAATGGCCGACCGAATAAATATAATGTGTTATGAACAAAACGCAATTCAGTGTAAATTTAAATTACTTATTGATCCCTTTATGGACGAATTTAAAATTTAAAAAAATTACTAATAACAGAAATTTATTAAAATTTAATATTAAATTAGAATAGATTAATTGTACCCCCTTATTCTAAAAAATGAAACAGCGCCTTCTTTGGATTTTTTTCTATACCAGCTTGATTTTTTTAAGTAATCAATAACAATTAATTATTTACCAAGACATTACTTAAAGTAATTGTGTGGTTCTAAAAATATCCAAATAATTATTAAAAAAAAAAAATAGTAAATTGTTAATAATTTCCCACTGAAAATCACTTAATTAAAGATTATATGTACTAAACCAGATGGACTTTCATTACAACAGATAATTTGAAAGTTTAAATTGACGAGTTTTTATTTGAATCAATAGGCAGAGCAGAACAAAATAGCGTTTGGGCCATAACATATAAATATACCCCTCTCGCAATGTCTGAATTGGCGAAGAAAGCGAATGTCCTGGGGAATGAGTCGGGCCTTTTTACTGATCTCTCGCCGACTGCCTTATGAGATATTGAGCCGCAATAAACTTCAATCCGGCTCGATGCCCGACAGCCAACTTTCGCCATTTTCTCCGACCGCGCAATTGTGCCAAATCATTATTATTACAAGGCGTGTGTGCGAGCGAGAGTTAGTTGGTTATTTTTGCCCGGCCGTGTTTGTGTTTGCCCATCCCGCCGGAGAGAGAGGATAATGCCGTGGTTTTACCATTTTCGCCGTTCGTCGGACATGTTTGCGGCTTTTTTAAATGGGGCCGAATGAACCTGGTGGGGACAACTAGATCGACCGGATTGCAAATTCATCCCTGCTGAATTTTCACCGGCGTAAACATGAACGGTGGATAATACCGCGTGACGGGTTTACCATGTTTTCATATGTGATTACTCGGAATAACAAAAAGTGGTATCCGCGATCGACGTGCGTAGCCACTCCACGAATTTTCTGCTGTTGATTTAACAAAATTTTTGATGGATTTATTGGAATGAGTGAAAGTGTCTTACTTTTTTTGCAAAAAATAATCTAATTTTTATCATGTTGTAATTTTAAACGCCCTTTAATAGTATAAATAAAATCTGAAATATAACTTGCTAGGCTTTAATATATTGAATCTTGAATTAAACTGTGGCGCTATAATGGGGAACTTTTTACTTCTTTTTAATTTCTCATTTGAGAGGTAAGAAGTGCAGGTCGAGGTACACGTTGGAAAAGGGTAGCTGATGAGCTTTCAATAAGCGAAATCATGATCCTAGTCATGTTCAGGGTGTTGCCGCTTGTCTTAATTTTTGAGTTTTAAGTGGAAATATTAATTATTTTAAAACAGAAATTTTAATTTGTTTTTAAAAGAATCAAATTTCCAATTAAAAGTTGAAATTTGGACATTTTAATTCGTTTTCCGAGCATTGGTTTTCTCGCTCAGTTTCTGAATCCACGTAAAATTCTTTTGAGAATAAATATTTTTATTCAATGTTTTGTTAAATAATTTTTTTATATCGTATTTAACCATCTGCAGTTGTTTAATTTTGACAAATAATTTACATTAAAACTTAATTAAATTATTACAACATTCAATTATTTAAATTGAATGGTAATTAAAGGTGGAGTTCATAAAAATTACATTCTATTATTTGTCATATTAATTCTGGTAACTGTAAAATTATTGATAAATTTACAATGTAAGTACAAATTAAATAAAACACTTTAAGTATTACGTACTTTTTTTTGTAAAAAGAGCAATTTCAATTAATTAAAGCGGAAAAATCGTCTGATACATTTCTTTCTTTACAATAATCTTATTTGAATTTCTTCGGCTGGAGCAGAAAAAATACTTTCAAAATGAAGTCAAGAATCTACGCTTATTTGAATAACCGTAAAGAGCAAACTTTGTGTATAACTGCTGACTCTTTTCTTTTTATTACAGGCCGCATGTTACAATTTGGCTCTCGCGCAAACGACATTTGGACGTTTTTAAAGCTCCGTCCGTCTGTCTGTCTCTCTTGTGGAATTTTACGTCTTTCCGACGTTAATAGTCGAGTAATTGCAGCACAGTGAGAGAGCTTTGCACAAATCTGTCGCTCACTGCAAGTGAGGGTTAACGAACGTTGTTCCAATCTATTGCCTCGATCTTTCGCAGCAATGCGTTTACTCTTGACTTAAGACAACAAAGCCCGAGTCTACATTTTTATCGACTGGGAAATCAGCGGCGTGTGATTGTTGTGTTTTTTTTTTCTTCTCTTCGGGCAGGCCGGCAGGAGACGACACACGAGGGCGATAAAGGATGAGAGCGCAACCAAGACAAAGAAGAAGCTGCGTCGCAATTTACCGCTGCTGTGGTTCATGAATAATTCACCCTGATAGCATCTTTGTCCCTCTCTCTCGAAACGCCTCGAAGGACAACGCGCAGTAACTTGCAACAACGCCCGTCGTTTATCGCCCCCGACCGAATTATTGTTTCCTCAAATTGGCTCAACTGCGTTTGACATCACAGGGGTGAACGGAGCCAGGAGGAGACAAAGGTTGCACCGGGACCGTTTTGTTGACGTGTTAAACAACTCCTCGGACGTTTAAAGGAAATACTGCAAGAACTTTGCTATCTTCAGGAAAAATTATAATTTCCAGGTGAAAAAGTTTAGATTTATGGAATAAGCATAAATTATGCAAATCTTTTTATGAAATGTTTAGAAAAATGCTGATCTTTTTTGTAAATGGAAGTAAGATATTTTAAATAAAAACTTGTCTTTCAGGTTCTTCTCAGGCATTTTAAAGGACCGTTTTAATACAAATATTTTTTTCAATTAAAGAGAATGAAAACTCCTCAATTATGATATTTACGGTGATTTTAAAGTAAAAATAAAAAATAATGAATATTGTGCTTCATTGTAAAATTTCAAGCGTCTTTCTCTCTCAAATGAAGGTTAAACAGGTAATCTTATTTACAAACTCTAATAATTATAATTTAGTTTATTCAGATATTTAACATCATGTTTATTATTTTTTTTTATTAAAGCATGAAATTTTATTTTATTTAAAATAATTAATAATAATTTTATAAAAGTTTGGAATGTTTTTTGGTGGCTGAGCAGTTCAAACTTGATGTTCTAAACAAAAAATTTTTATTAAAAGCATATCTAAATTCAGACTTAAAGATTGGTAAGTGTGGGATTTTCATACAATCATTTTATAATTCTTGAATCTAGAAGTTGAAATTTCAGTCCTTTGCGATTACCAAAATACAAGATTGGCTTAAAACGGCATTAAATAACGTTTCCTCTACAATGTTCAAAGGCATATTTTTCAGAAAAAGGTTAAAATTTATCTCAAGGATTACAAGTAAAGTGAGCATTATTTTCCAATCGCTACGTTCAGGAATAAAAACATGTCCATTGTGGTTTTGGAAGTTATTTGAAAAAATCATTTGAACAAAACATCAATTTGCAAAAATTGTCAGCATTCATTTGCTATAACATTAATCAAGCCGGGCGCATAAAACACGTCACAGAAATAATTACTTTTCACACACTCCGCGTGACAAATGGTAAAATTTAAAATTTCCACTCCGTCCGGTGTTTTAATTCATCGGTTAGCAGCGTGTAAAAAACAGAAAAGCGGCAGGTCATTTATAATTCATCTGTAACGCTAATTGCCGATTCCC